ACCAAAACTAGAAGAACGGTCAAACCGCCCAATTGATCCTGGACCAAACTACCTACAAAAACATGGGGGATTGCCCAACCCGTGCTCGCAAATGGGGGTGTGGAATATCTGGGGCGAAACAAATATGAACATGATGGTCAATGATCAAAAATCAATTTGGTTTTGACATACTTTGCAACCCAACTCCATTTGTAGGGTCCCTTAACTGAAGCTAACAGGTCACTTTTGCCGGCGATTGAGAGGATCCCGTTGAAGAGCAGGTGGTTGTTGATCCTTTCAGGAACCCTGATGTATTCAGGCCCTTGTATGACGCTGTGGATCCCAGTTGGCCCCATAGGCAAACTGCCATGTTCCTTCTAAACGGGTTACCTCCTTTCCAGTTAAATGGGTATGTCTTCTTATGGGGGTGGGGACCACACACTGGCTGTGTCACTTGCATATGGTTCCTCTCGACACCCACTCCAAAAATGGTACCCTCTGGAACGACACGCCCAAATGGATCCACTGGAGTTCCGTACTTCACCAGTCAAACCAGGTGCGGCAGCGCATTGGGCCGGGCTATGAGAAAGCCAGGCGGGGCGAGCCGCTACCAGGTACCAGGAGCCATGGGGCAGCCCAGTGCCTATTAGTGACTATTGGCGACGTAACAGTGACCATAGGTGTCCTTTCATGTTTTATCAGTCTGATCAGAAATAGATGGATTCCACTGGTTAGATGGGTTTCATTCCACTCACCCAGGCCATCTAGTTTTTACCCAAAGGGCACCTATGATTGCGGCCATGAAGGACCATTAAGGGTAGGTTGATTTGACCGCAGGATCCCCGGTTAGCCGTTTTGGGTATGTGCCTGCTTCGAGTTGCCTTTTTGGGGCCTGATTTGTGGTGCGCCAAGAGGAAGCCTTTGGTAGGCAAGGTTGATTTGCCCGAACGCCAACAGGATATGACACCCCTGGGTTTAAAGTCAGGGGTGGGCTAGCCCGAAAAATGAAACCTATAGATCTCTTTCTTTCACAATTGCGCAAGGTTCACTACATATGGACCGGAATCAAAGTGTGATTGTTGGCCTAGCAAAAGTTGAGGTAAAGGCCCCGTTCAAATATGGAAACCACATGCCCTTTTAGCAGTGACGCTAAAGATCCCCATGCAAAGGTCAACCCACAGCTAAACAGTCTGGTGGTTCCGCTGATTGAACATGGGCAACATTTGGTCTTTCACCAAATCGCCCCGAAAAGATCTTTGGGAAACCAACGGTGTTCCCTATCTGGATACGGGTCAAAAATAAACCACCAGGATATGGACCGCATGTTAAATCGTCCATGTTTCCACTTACCAGGGCAACCCATTTTGGGGTTACCCTATTCTTGACCCACGGCCAGACAAAAGGTGAGCGGCCTTTTGCTCGTTTGGGCTAAACAACCCAGTGAAGGGGAAGCCGCCCATGCCAGGCCATGCCCTTCTCTCGCAGAGTGAGTTGACTTTATGGATTCGCGTACCCGGACAGCCGATCCATCACAGGGTTCTTTTGGTCACCTTGTTGGGTGTTTCCAAGAATTTGCAGAACCTGAGACTTGGTGATGCTTTTTCACTTAGTTCAATTTCACCCCCTTGCTTGGTAGGTTCCCCTCCACGGTCAAAACCAAAGAGACTCCCTTTTTCCGTCTGTCCATCGGGTTTCCTGTTTGCTTAGGGCCGCTGGTCATGGCTACTCAATCGCAATCCTTAATCATTCCCTTTAATTACTTGCGTGTGCAAGCCCACTTAACATGACTATGAATTTCAAGTTGGAACTCTTTGATGGACATCATTTATGTGGGGATCAACGCCCGCCACAAGCAAGGCGGTTTACCATTGGGATTTATGGCCAAATGGAAATGGGTTGCATGAAGTGCGCTTTGATTCTATGTGGGGGCTGTAAAAAGTTCGAACTTGTGGCTTCCCATACAATCTAGCCATTCATGGCGAATCAAGCGTTCACCCCAAAGTGATCCGAATCTCTCTAAAATTGGACTCTCCTGAGAATGCAGCGGGGTGTTCAATCTGTATTCATGAGCTGCTCTCGTAGCGAAGGCTGGTGCTGTGCTTCTTCATTCAAGCCTCCTACTGCTACCGCTACAAGGCTGGCTTGAGTTCGACCGGGTAACCTGGAACATGTGACTGAAGAGGGTGGTGGTGGTGGCGGTGGCGGTGGTGGTGGTGGTGGTCCCATAGTTTCGCTTTAATTAGTGGTTTATCTATGAATCAAGCTTGTAAATCAGAGGCTCGTACCAAAGGTTGACAAACTTAGTCATAGGGACCAATCACATGGGCCACAAAAGCACCCACGTGGGTTCCTTTTTCCTTGGGCTCCCTACTTTCAGGTCCTTGAGTTCGACTTTTGATTTGGTCTAGGGCTTTGACTGAACCAATCACAGGGATCGTACGGGCAAGTCACACAGATGCCGTTGGCCATGAAGGCGTGTCTTTTTTAGGATACCTCCCCCCCCAAAATATTAATAATCAGAAACAATAATGCTTAGAATGTCCTCTGGTTCCAAAAAAAGCGGGTACCATCAAAAGAAGAACACACCCATGTGCTTTGTGGTTCGCGAAGCATTGCGCAGGCCAGATTGATCCGTGGCAATGCTCTGCATGTGGGCGCTGTGGCACTTGGCGCCCTGACGAATCCTTCGGCGGTCGATTCAGATGCGGATGCGAATCGGATGGAGCCGCGGGTGTTTGTTGGGCCGGTGGCATGGTTGTGGAACCTGGAGGGCCACTTTCCGTGACTCACTCCCTGAGTTGGTGGACTTTAAGCTTTTTGGGCAGATCATGTTCATGTTTGTGGCACACAAACAGTTTGGACTAATTTTGTTGGCCCATCTCAGGAAGTGAGGTGATAAGGAAATCGCCTAAGTGGTGAGGTATTCAATAATCATTCGTGTGAATGAGCCAGGGTATCACACACAAAGAAAGTGGTACCCTCTTTTTCCGGTCTTGAGGGGCTTCCCCAATTACAGTCATCTATCATCTACCACAGAAATGGTGTCTGCTGGAGGACATGTGCCTGCCATCTCCTGACTGAAGCTGGATCCAAACCAACCAACCCTGGTTTTCATGAGTTCGTGTTTGGCTAGCCAGACAATTGGGTATAGAATTCGTCAGAATCCGGGGGGACCGGAAAATAGTGGTTGTCCATTTCCTTGTGCAGCGGCATAAAGGGATCCATCAACAAGACATCCCTAAACTAGGTGGTTCCCAGCCGTCCCCTTAGGGTTTGTTTTCAGGGTTTTGCGGGGGATTCGATTTCTTGGTTCAAAGGGAAGCTATAAGGAAAGCCACTTGTTAGGGCCCCCCACTTTGAGTCACATGCCCATATTGATCAAATCTATGGGCGATATCCAATTTTTGAGGGTAGATTGAGCGCCGAGGCGGCTCTGACGAGATCTTCGGCTCGCTCGTCGAGTGGGGCATCGACTTGCTATCTGAATGCAACCTGCTGGCAAGAAGTCGCAGGCTGTGGGAGCTATTGTGCCACTTCCGTGATGCCCCCTTTGGTCCAGGGGAAACGGTGGGTTGCAAGGAGGGGAACCCATGTGTTGGAACCTGTTCAACGGGCTACCAAAGCCGGGTTCAATGCTAGTTGATGTCAAAATAGGGGGATTCCAAAGATTCCAAAGTGGTTGGTGAGATGTTCCCCTGCTTGGAGACAAGTGCATTCTCCCAACCCTAAGGATTGATGTTCATCTCGGTTTCGAATTTGCTCCTTACGGAGAAATCATTCTTCGGCGGAACATGCAATCGAGGAAGGGGATTTGGCCAAGGGTTGGGCCGGCTGCTTTTCCACATGGCGAGCAGCCGCATGTGTTGCTTGTCATTCTTCTGGTTTCCCTCGGCTTAGCAATTTTCAAGGGTTTCAAATCTGTGGAGATTAGAGAATTCAAGCAGTCCCATCGCTTGTAAGAAGAAGCAATATTGCCAAAGCCTGATTTTGACTGGGATTCTTCCCTCGTTGCTCGTCCACATGCCCAAATAGGGGACCCCAAAGGCGCAGATTTTCCTTCTGAATTCCCTTCAAACCTTCCTCGATGACCAAACCACATAGACAGTTGGAGTGAAATCCGTAAGTCTTCCGTTTCCAGGGCCCAACTTTCTGGTGTGAAAGGGTCGAATGGAAGCAACGTGAAGAGGGTACAGTCAAACAGCTCAAGCACCCAGCCAGCCACACCCACCCAGCCCCGCAGGCACAACCACAAGTACAAACCCACCCACCCACCCGCCCGCCCGCCCGCCCGCCCACCCACCCACCCATCCACCAACAGCTTCAGCTACATTGAGCTTTTTGATTTTTGCGCGACCGAAATTGTGCCCCAGGCGAGTTTATGCACCACAGCAAGCGTGGCAGCTTGGCGAAACGAGATATGAACAACCAGAACCCTGGCTGGGGCGTCAGTTTGACTGTTTCTGGGGGGTCTCAAAGCGATAAATGCAGTTTCCCTTGCATGCACCAGCTTGGCGGGGGGGGGGGGTGACTCTGATCATGGTAAAAACATGAGTCCAGTGTGGATGTGCCATGATGGGTGTGTCTCAAGCAGTGTTTGTTGTTGTTGAATACGTCTTACAGTACATATATATTATATATAAGGGGCTTTCTTTGGGTTTGGATTTCAACATCGTTCAAGAAGGGCCCCTATATTGAGACACACCCCAATGGTACACCAAATGGTTGTTTAACCTAAAAGAGGTACCAACGATCAAAACACCCCTGTGTTTTTTTTATCCGTTGTTTGTGTTCCCTAGTTTTGAAGGGGGACTGGTTGTGACTGGTACTTGGTGGTTCTTTGTTTGTGCTTTTCTTGGGGGGTCTTCGTTGCTTTGGGCGCTAAGAAAAGCACGCATTTGTTCCTGTCATATGATCAGGGGTTGCGAAGATGCTGATTGGTGCTTTGTTCAAAGGCAAGTGCAGCTTTTCTTTGCTGAATTGGAAATTGGCTTTCTAGGCGGGGCTTGAAGGAAGTTAAGCGGAAGCTATGAATAGATATCTGAGATTTGAATGGCACCTTTGGCAAAATGTTAAGCAGATAAATGTTTGGCCTTGTTACTTGGGTGTTGTTTGTAGCTGGGAAATACGGTTGGAACTGGATGCATCTTTGACCTTTAACTTACTCTGCTGCCTGGAAATGTGTCGTTGCCGCAAACTCATCTTCCAGGTACCCTCGCACAGTTTCCATGTTTGCGGGAGGAAGGGTATGTGTGATTTTGCCCAGGCTCCCGGTCCCCAATGGCAACGTGAGTTCCATTTGGTTCACTCGACCACCAAACCCCAAAAGCGGGAGCCGCGCCCCAAGGCCCCAGAGGCCTTCACCCCACGGGTTTCGTAGCCAGGGCAATGCCTTGCGCTGCACCTCGCGGCTGGAAGGGGCCGCCTTCCCATGCTCTCCATGCTGCTGGAGGCCATTGACTCGGATTCCACATCCGATGTCTCCGCGGAGCTGGGTCCGTATGTGTGTGTTGTGTTTTTCCCCACCCGACAGGAAGGGGTTGTTAGATTTGATGTTGGAATCCGCGTTTGCGATGCTTCTACACCAACCCCCCACCCAGTATCCCGCCAGAGCAGCTCGCCAGCGGATCCCGCCAAGTATCCCGCCAGAGCAGCTTGTCACTGGATCCCGCCGAGTATACTATACCCCGCCAGAGCTGCTCGCCAGTGGATCCCGCCCAGTATCCCGCCAGAGCGGCTTTCAAGTGGATCCCGCCGAGTATCCCGCCAGAGCGGCCCGCCAGCGGATCCCGCCGAGTCCTGCCAGCCAGGGGATCCCGCCGAGCATCCCACCAGAGCAGCCCGCCAGTGGATTGCGCCGAGTATCCCAGTGTCCCAGAGTAGCTGGCCAGTGGGTCCGTATCCCACCAGAGTAGCTCGCCAGTGGATCCCGTCGAGTATCCCACCAAGTCTGGTTTTGCTTAATGTCCCGCCCGGCGCACAGTTGGGTTTACATTTCATGTTGGTGCCTTCGTGTTTTGAGTGTACCCTGAGGCTCGGAAAGGGTGATGCTTTTGTGTTGCTTTGGGCCGTGAATAAGCAACTTCGTTTAATCCCCCGTCGAGTTTCTTTTTGGAAGAGGCTTGGCTTTTGTCAACGGAACCGATGTTTGAGTTCTCGAGATCGGCTCGCAGACAAGTGGAGTTTCACGCACAGACAGGTGGACAAGGCTCGCCATTCTTGCGCGGCAAAATATCATTGGGAAGGGGCCGATGGAGTCGTCTCTAGGATGCGGAGGAATTTGTTGTAACGGTCGTACCTCGTGAGTGTGGAGGGTGGGGATTGCTCGAAGCGATGTATTTTGGATCGGCAAGTTAAAGCTGTTAGATCTCCCCAAAATATTGAAAAATAATATCACAAAACAACCTTAGGTCCCCCACCCCCATTTGTATGTTTAAGGGGGTGGTGATCCCAAGAATTGAACTTTCGGGCTTGTAGAATCTCAGTTTGCGCAGACCCGCGAAGACCTTTGTTGTAACAAAATGGCCAATCCACTCAGTGCCTCTGGGACCGAATTTCCACTGGATCTTTGGAGAGCGGCTTTTGACGGCCCACTGCCTGTAAGAGTTTGAAAGTCATCAGACTCACCATGGGGTTTCAGAGATTGGGCTGCCCGATGGGCATTTCTTGATAGTCAGTCAAACATAGTTTGTATCCCTCCCCTGAGTTCATGGAGTTTAGTCACTTTTTGCGACAACTCGGGCCATCCACCCGGGCAATAGCATTGGATCAGACAGGACAATGCTTTCTTGGGAGATTATTGGTCCCTTTGAAGTGAAACATAGGACAACAAGTGGATTGTGGAACCACCGCTGGCTTTTAGACAACTGGTAACCCCAAGAAACTTGGGCCAACGACTGGCGAAAGACCCCATCTAGACCCATGTTCCACCCTAAGCATCAAGCAGGACCAGGTTGATCCGTTTTAAAGTGATCAGCTAGCCCCGGGGATGGCTTTCGCTAGGTATCAAATCATGTCCTTGTGGGGCGTGTTACAAAGCGAAACAGAAAAGCAACAACAGCCCCCACAACAGTGTAAGGGATCTCCTATCATTTCGTATCCAACCCAACTCCAGCCGGCTCGTGGCAGACCGTGGTGCCGGTTCGAGCCATTTTGAGATGAGTTTGAACTTCCGAAATGGTTGGAGCAGCCTTTGTTTGAACCGGCAACAACACATCCACTATTCTGAGACGCGCTCATGGCGTGTCTTTGTTCTTTTTGCCACGAGATCTATGTTGCTTCTCCTCCCGAAGGAGCCACCCCCCAGTCGGGCAAATCCTTATGTCCCTTCGTGCTTCAGATGCTCCACACAACTTATCCCCCCTTAGCGGGCGCCTTGGTTCCAACCCAGCGACTTCAAGTGACCCTTTACATTGCAATCCGGGAGGCGGGTGTTGACGTCAACATCAAGACGCGCTACAACCAGAAGGCGATGGATGGCTTTTGGATGGATACAGTGCGGGCTGAGAGAGATATGAGGAGTCTGAGGTTTTTCCCCCATGCCTTGGAAGTGCGTCTGCGGTTGACGTCTAATTTTGACAACCCAGTTATACAATCAATTTGGTTCGGCCACACAAAGGGCATGACCTGAAAAGCTAGGCGCGCAGATAGTTGAACTTCTATAAGAAAGGATGATGAAGACCTGCTTTTTGTAGTGAGTCTACATGAAGCAATGTGAAGAAATTGTGGACGTCTCAATTATACAGAGCATCTATGTGAACGAGCGATCATGTGGCTATCTTTTTTACTGGGGAACCGCGTGACACGTGTTTGGTGGACATGATTCCCCACCTAGCTGATGTCGTCCAGCAAAGGGCCTTCAAAGGGCATCTATGTGAGCAAGTGATCATATACCTCATTCCAGAAACTCTGCCCCAGAATCTTGACGACCCAGGGAGACGGGCAGCGCATCCCAAGTTACAGCAAACATGAAACATGGGGTAGAAGTACATCTCGATTTTCCCATGTCCTCTTGGGCGACGAGCCGAATCTTGTGCAACGGTTCTGGTATTTGATGCTGCCGGTGGAGATCAGTGCTCATGTGCTCAAAGCCAATTGACCTGAATTCACCTTTGGTTGTCACATGAGGCAAAATTATCAATATGTAGTCGAATTGACAGCAGCTCTTGCCGCGCTGAAAATAATCTGCACATAAAACACACACACACACAGTGAACACACTCGCACACTCGCGCGCACGCACGCACGCGAGCAACGCAAGCAACGCAAGCAACGCACGAACCCAAAGCAACGCTCGCACGCGCACATAATAAGTTCTGCCATGGCTTCCGCGTGGCATTGCAGACCAACAGGGATTTTGGTTTACTTTGAGTCGTGTCAAAGGCATAACCTGCAATTCCCAGGCAGGCGAGAGGGGTATCGAAGCGCCGGCCGGGATATCGCAGGACAACTACACGGCCCTGCACGAAGCAGCCTTTTTCAAGCAGGCCAGGACATCCGGATTGGGGGGGGAGCCTTCGCATGGGCCCCTTTAGGGCCCGTGCTCAGTCCCTGTTTGAGGTGGAGGTGGGTTGTTGACATTGGGGCGAGGCCGACTCACTCAATCATTGATTCAGAGCCGTGGCGAATGGAGCCATTCCAGCCTAACAATGACTATCAGTGACTAATAGTGACAGTTAGGGGCTGTTAAGTACCAGAACACTGGCCGTCATCCATATCTGCTCCCCTTATGGCTCATCAACATTGGAGTCATCTGAGCAATTTCTGCAAAACACTGTGTTTTACAGCATTTTGTTGGATCTCTAGTCCCTTGAAATGTCCATTTTGAAACACCTGTAACCTAGAATCTGGAGATCGGACTCCTCGAGCTGTCTAATGTTGGATTCTCCAAGCCTCATAATTTGGAGCCGGGAGTCCTCCAACAAGTCCAACTATACATTCCTTTCCAAATAATATTTTGCACCGATTTGAATTTGAATATTGAATAGAATTTAGTAAGGACATAGTTCAACACAATTCATAATTCACAATTATTTCTATATATAATCAGAATTTGAAGAGACATACCGTTCCAAAGAAGAAAACATGACAAGACAAATATTTTAGATATATTTTAATGCAGACAGAATTCAATGGGCTGTTGAACATAATAATTATTTAAGAACCCCTTCCCAAATTTTCCCTAAATTGGATTAGAGCTTATTCTGGAAAGAAATCACTTGGCCTTTGCAAACAAATTTTCAATAGCAACTCATTCCTAAATCCAGGTCTCGGAGCTTTCATTTTCAGGAGATTTTGTGCTTTTGGGTCTGTGCAGGTTGCTCAAAGGCGCAAAAACCATCATTTTGTCAATGTGTTTGTTTCCCTGGTGTACTCAAAACCACTGTAAAACCAAGTGTTTGAAAGCCAGACTCGACTCTGAAAACGGATTCCGTTTTCGCTTTGTTGCCTTTCAAGCGTAAACAAAGCAAGCAATTGCTGTCATATAGAAGGTAAAACACCAACACAAACACTGTATTTTACAGTGTTTTCAGGCATCTGCAAGAACGAGGCACACGCAGTGGACTTGACACCTTAAACTAGAAGAGAGGACAGGTAGGCCCTGGGGGCGGGGGGGTTGACCATATATATATATATATATGTATGTATAAATCTATGTTTATGTAGCCTTCATAGCCCCCCCTGCCGCCTCCCATTTCTGGGGAGCCGTCCTCCCCCGCCGCGGTTGGGTCAGACCGCCGTGGTGAAGCTCTTGCTGGAGAGTCACGCCAAGGCTCGCTCGCGATTTTTCCTGGGAAAAGCTGCGGAGGTTGCGCAGCTTCTGACTTTCTGACTTCCTGGGTTCCTGGGCCGGGTGATTCTTGGAGCCTTTTTTTAAGAGTCGGACCATGTCAGTTCACAAGACGTCGCAGTGTAGCTTTCAGTATGCTGCAATGCCGCCATCATTTAGCGAGTCCCACTCAAGCCAAAGCTTTTCTGTTGCCCACCCTTCTGACTTTCTGACCTCGCTTTCTTCTTCTTTTTGGTTGGACCATGTTGGCGGAAGAAGTTTGGACTTTTTGGGGCCAATCCACGGAAGTGAGCAAATGAATTCCATTGGGTACAAGTAGAAATGATCCTTCGGGGTGGCCCAAACCGTGCGGCACGGTTCCCATCTTGGTGGCTCAAGACAGCAGCTTTTGGTTGCCAAATGGGCGTGTCTTTTTTGAGGGTGCCCCTTTCTTTGCAGTTTTAGAGAACCAACAGGAAAACTGCAATTTTGGGGTTCCCCTAGAAAATGCACACCCAAATATGTCCCAGTTTGGGAACACCACCTTTCGGACACCTTCAAAACTGAGGAACAATTCGTGTGGAACGATCGATGCTCGGAGCAGACATATTTTTGTGGTTCTGTTGGGTCGGTTCGTTCCCCAGCTGAATGGTTCGGGGTCTTTGCCCAAATAAGCACTGGAGTCTTCGGAGGAGCTTGGGAGGGTTCCAGGGGCTTCCTGACCCGGGCTGTTGGGGGGATGCCTGGGCGCATGAACTGTTTCTGTTTGGCTTCTGTTGAAGGGTTTGTGGCCCAGATTCTTGAGGCCAAAGACTGGCCAAATGTGTTCTTTTGCGGGAGGCAGGTATGGGCCTTCAAAGCCAAATAAATGAGCCGCTGGCATACAGCCAATGTGCAGCTACGCATTTTGTCCCCAGGGCCCTTGTGAGACGGTTGATACTTCCGGAGTGAAAAACGCGGGCTCGAGGCTCCAGGCCTTCTCATAAGGCCGCGAAGGGCCGAAGAAACCGTTTGTTTGAATGCATTTTGTGGGAAACCACGAGGGAAGCCCACAATTTCAGGGGGTCCAAAAAATATGTTGACACACATCCCGCATGAGAAGGGATCTACCTCCCACCAGTTCTTCGTGTGCCCACGACTTTTTTTTTTTCGACTCTAATGCATGCGCAACACACACCCACAATTTCGGGTCTACGAAACATACGCAGGCATACCCCGCGTTGGACTCACGCCGAGTTGGCGATGCCCGGAGGTCAACGAGGTGAACCTCAAGCAGCAGACGCCTCTGCACATCGCATCTGCGGTGGGAGGCGAATCGAGTCGAAAAGCCGGCGGTGAGATGGTTCACTTCCCAGTCCTTTGTTTGACCCTCGGCACTTTTGTTGGTTTAAAGGGACACCCAAGGCAAAGACACCCTTGTTGGTTTGTTGGTTTAAAGGGACACCCAAGGCAAACCACTCAATTATTTTTGGGGGGTTCCCCTTTTGGACACACCGCAGACGTTTTGGGAAACCATTTTGGTGGCCCACGACAAGTTTTGTGACTTTCGTCCAGTCCACCCAGGTGGAAAGACCGGTTCCTTAGCTTGGGGTTCTTAGGAATGTTCTTTGATCACGTACACAGACAATATACAGGTTACAAGTCAAGAACCCTGACAGCCTCTCAACAGGGGGCTTTAGACACCAACCAATCTAAAGCTTCCTATGAAGGAACCATGACCATGACCCACAGACCACAGCACAGTTGCCTTCAGCTTAAACGCTCGACTTTGAAGACAGGTGTACATTTCTTTGGTCCTCAGGCATCTGAATAATTGTGTCTTGTGTTTCAGGAAAAAAACCGGTTCGTAATTCTGACCGTGGCTCACATTGCTTGCACGCTTTCCAGCAACCCAGGCATCTGGTTTTGGGGCATCTTCCCATGGCTCTCATGGCTCCCATGGCTCCCATGGCCCCCATGGCATTCGCCGAAGTCCGGACCGACAGGGTACAACCTTTGCCGGCTCATGGTGAAGTATGACGCTGATGTGGAGATGCAGGAGTGGCGCAAGGGATAATGAAATGTGTGACGGGTCTTGTGGGCTTAGCCCCCTTAGCCCTAGAGACATCGACCTTTTGGAAACAAATGGTTTTCCCCTTGAGCCTGCCAAAGGTTAGGTCTTCTTGCTCAGGGGGGAAGACGAGCGAAGGACGAGCACGGGGGCCCACCGAATGCGCCCACAAACACAATTCCGGCCACCTGATTATCCCGTGTCCTCTTGGAGGCGCAAAGGAATAAGTCCGGCTTTGCAGCAGAAAGGCTAAGTCTACACCATATACCACTGGCCACCCGAAGTGGGTTGGGCAAGTTATCAAGAGGGGATCGTACATCTATGATATACATGTCATATGCCAAGCTTCCGATAGCAATGTTTGCGCGTTGCGCTTCGATGGCACTGCCGCAACTTTCCATGCCAGTAATTACACATTTGGGTGTACTACGCTGCCTACCGCTTCAACCCATGTAGGTGGTTCTCTCAACAAAGGACAAACCGACTTGGCGGCTCCTTGTTTTTTGTTTTTTTTTTTGTTTTTTTTTTTGTTTTGTTCTCTTTTTTTTTGTTTCTCCGACGCCCAATTCATTGGCAAGGCTACCTTCTATTTGACACGTTCTACCGCTTGTGCCCATTCGGACAAAGCAACAAACAGATTTGGTACGTATACTGTTTTGCGTGTGTTTGTTTGCTTGCTTGCTTGCTTGCTTGCTTGCCTGCCTGCCTGTCTGTTTGTCTGTTTGTCTCTTTGTTTGTTTGTTTGTTTGTTTGCTTGCTTGCTTGTTTGTTTGTTTGTTTGTTCGTCTGTGATTGTTACTCTCCGACACCACTACCCCATATGATTTGTATAATCTGTGTTTGTGGGGTTGCCAACAGGCACAGGCCCTTCTAGACCCACTTTGAAGCAGCGCTTGATTGCCCTGAGCTCCCTTCGTGCAAAGCTGCCCATGCGGTTTGGAGGGGGGGATATAATATCCCCTTCTACATCCTTCATGTAGCACTCACACATATGGGTATGAATTTCAATATTGGACCCTTTGGCGGGCATATGGGGGCATCAATGTGGGGATTCATGTCCATGATATATGTTGACACGTAATATATGTATGTATATATATATATAATATATATATATATACATGTACAATGTACAGATAGGTATCATAATCTGTATGTCTCTCCGTTAAATGCAATCTCCTTTACTCACCCTTCAGAAAACCAATCCCCTTTAGACACCCCGGGTAGTAAGGGACAATCCCAGCCATAAATAGGGTGCGGCTTCTGGGTTCACCGTTTTGTATCAGGTTTTGATTGCGACTCATATACTAGGTCCCCCAGCAGTGCCCTTTCACCGTTTCTTTTTTGGGGGAGGGTTCCCCTACTAAATAAGACTACAGAAAAAAGAAACGGTACCCTTTTTCCTATCCTCGCAAATTTGGAGGACTCAGTATATGCCATCTGGTGGATTAGCCTCCCATTTGGGCCACGTGGCTCAGGACTCAGGGAAGCGGACCGCCCTGGACGCGGCCATGGAGAGTGGGCGCCGCTCAGACTTCGGAGTTTTGGGGGTTGGGGGGATTTTTGGGGGCTGATTCCATGTGCTGAAATGAACATGTTTTGATTTGCCCCCGTTGGCTTTTAAGGGAGTCTCTCACTATTTGACTTTCATTTTTTGCCAGGAGGCAAACAAAAGCAAACGGAGGTGTAGGGTTGGGCAAATCCATGGCTAGTTGGTGTTTGGTGTGACCAAATCACGCCTTGGACCTTTTGGAAACACTGCCTTTTCCATCAAACGTACAGAAGTGTAGACCGTGGGGGTGATCAGAGTCAAACAGGGGTCGTTTCTCGCCAGCACTTTTGGGGGGCTTTGATGGACCAGCAGAAAACAGTAATGAGGCACCCCAGCCCCCTGTAAGAAGAAGCCAAAAAGGAGCGTGTGTAAATGAAACGGTTGATCCGCTGCGTTTTCTGGCCGGTTCTGAGTAGCACAAGAAACTCCATCAGATTTATCCGGAAGGGGATCTCAACGTAACCACCAGTTGAATGGTTCAAAAACCGGGTCATTCCAACTTTTCGAACTCTTCTTCCTTTTTTTTTGGGGGGGGCGGTTCCCCTGCCAGGCTCTTTTTTCAAGGGGACACCCAGAGGCGCTTTTTCCGAGGTTACCCCCCGCACAAGCTCTTCCACCTCACGGGGCGCAGCTTCAGCGATTTGCTGAAGGCGGGAAAAGCGACGCACGATCCCAGGCGTTTGCTCCTTTCCCAGGGTTCAGGTAACTTTTGGTTGCTTTGGATTGGTTTGGGGTTTGAACCCCTGGCCTCCTGAACCACCAAACCACCAAACCACCAAAGCATCGAAGACATGGGAAGCCGCCCCCCCGACTGACAAAGCACCAATTGGAGGGAAGCTGAATACCTCCCCAGGTCACTAGTTGAAAGGAGAAGAAGCCGCATGGCCGAGACAGCTGCGTACCTGCCAACGGTCACCCAAGCTACCCTCGGCTCCATAGGAAAGCCTAAGTAGGGCTCCTTCAAAGTGGCTTTGCCATCAAACACTCCCAACACCATTTCAAGAAACTGTACAAAGCAGGGGGCATATTCTTAAAACAGGGGTTTCTCAGAATGTTCCATCAAATGAGATGCCCGTACAACTGGGGCGGTCCCCCAATTTGTGGTTGCCACTATTTGAGGCCCCTGAAAATAATGGAGAATTATTTGCTAGTTGCAGAGAGAAGATGTGTTTCCAAACAGAATGAAAAGAAAAGGACCAACCAAGATGGGACCACTTTCCGGATACTTAAACTTTTACAGCCTGGCAAATTGGGTGAACGTATATGGTACAGCTGAATCCTTTTACCCACATAAAGGTTATTGCTTCCCGTTGCTTAAGGCGGTGAATGGTGCATGACATCATAGCTTTTTGCCTTTGACGGTTTTATCACTAACCGACGTTTTGTTTTTGTCCTTTCGATGCTAGGGGCTTGTTTGGTGGTTGCGATTGAAGGAAGAAAGGACGGAAGACAGGAAGGAAGGAAGGAAGGAAGGAAGGAAGGAGGGAGGGAAGGAAGGAAGGAAGGAAGGAAGGAAGGAAGGAGGGAAGGAGAGCTCACTCCCTGAGTTCTTGGGCTTTATGTTTTTGCGGCAGACTGTTTTGCGCAAAACAGAAAGTGTTGACTTTTCTCTGTGCCAATCCACTCAACAGGTGAGAAGGAAGGAACCCTGTGCAGGATTTCGTCCACAGTACCTCAGCCTTCCCCCAACCAAAAGCCAAAATGAGCTGGACGACAGATCACTTATCAACTGGTGCCTGGATTGTTTCCAGCCAGTTAAAACATTTTGTTGCAACCCCCTTGGTGGTGCCCTGTTTTTTGGTTTTAAAGGGACATCAACGGGAAAGCCATCATCTTTGGTCCCCTCGAAAAAAAAGACACCCATGTTGCAACCTCTTTGTTTAGGGCATTTGAACCTGAATCAAAACCCGGGTAGATGAAGGTTAGTAGGAGGCAATCCCAGCCATAAATAGGTGCGGTCGCCTTCTTGTTTCTTTACATGGTTCACCATTTTTGAACCAGATTTTGATTATGACTCATTTGTTTTTAGCTACAAAAGTCTCGTGTTTATGGCACTCCGAAGGTGGCCTACCATAGCCCAGCAGCAGCAAGCGACCTCCTCCGCAATGTGGAGGTCGACGCGCCTTTTGGCGCAGGGCACATGCCAAAGGGCTCTGTACTGGAGGACCTAGTAAACATGGAACCTGCACAGAGGTCCCAAAACAGGAACATGGCTTTCCAGGACCCCCTGTGCAGGTTCTGTGTCAAAGGGAAACCAAAGGGACAGCAAATGGAGACAAGCATTTGGAGGGTTTCCCCATTTTAAGACAAAGATGGTGGCGGGGAAAGGTGCAACACTCATACTTCAGGGCACAGGGGACCACGTATTCGTTATGCCCGAAGGAGTACGTATTCAGAAATTCAGCCCAAAGGAGTGGTTGGGGGCTGTTGGGAGTGGAAGACCTGGCTTACATCCCCTCATTAACTGCGAGGTCCCTAAGCTGGAGGATGTTTTCGTGGATTTTTCTCATCGAGGGCTTGGCGGTCCCCATGGCTTTGATTAGATCGAGGAAGGACGTGCCCAGAACCCATGGGTCGCGCTACTGGATGTTGTATTTGTTTATTTGTCCTTGAGGGATCCCTGGGGTGGAGTCTCTCGAACCTTGCGAACGCTTTCGCCCCATGAGGTCTTGGACCTTTGAAGCCTCCCCAAGGCTACACATTCCCTGATGCTTCTTGAAACAGAGGTGTCCTAGGTCAGTTGTAAATCAGTTTCTTCGAACCGAAGACACTGGAATCCATCTATTTCCCAACGACCGCCGGGAAGCATTTGCCCCGTGATCCAATCCGAGGATACATCCGGCTTGGGGTGAGAACCTTGCCAAGGCAGGGGAGAGGTTGGACTCTCGAGCCCGGATTTCGAGAAGAGTGGCACGGTGGGAAATGGGGAAGGCCCCCGTTCTGTGATCAAGGAACCGCCTGAACAAAGTGACAACGTAGTCATAAGGATGGTCCACTCTGGTATCACAGAAGGGCCAAACGGCACAGGAGAAATATCGGAAGATCCCCTCGAGGCTCAAACTTGAACATGAGGAAAATAAGTATTTTTGTTAGCTTCACCCAAATTCGTGTGGGTTTGCATCCAAACAGGGGTTGCCCCTAACTACAGTGGATGGTGTCCTTTGTTCTTGTATCACCTGCCCATAGGTCCTTTTGGCCTGCAGGAGTCACCTTTGGTCAACTCTCAAACTACCGTCTAAGTTGAGAAAGCAAAGTTGGCGTTCAACGTGTCAAAAGGAGAACCCAATGGGATGGCTTGAAGTTGCCTTCGAGGAATCTGGGTGAGTTCAAGCATCCTGGAGGTCAACCTTTAAAGTCGACAATCAACAGAAGGTGCCAAATCCTGCTTTCTTCCCATGGAAATCCACTGCCCTCTCTTTGGGTAGGGCTAGATGCACTGAACTCTCATCGAGCAAGCAAGCCAAGGGATTGGCTAATTTGACAGGTGAGCAGCTCTCAAAACCCTCATTGGCTTTGTTGGTTTTGGTGGTTCCACAGTTCCACTACCTGGTTTGTGAGGGTCATAGTACCTACATACCTCTTTCTATCCATATTGGTAGAAAACAAACGTCGTCAGGTCTTTGCCGCCAATTTGTTTACAACCAGATGTTCATTTTGGCAAGCCAAGAGAAAAGTCATATCAAAAAGGGGCTTAACCGGCACAACCCTGACCTGTCTACCTACATCCCTTTATCTTAGTTTCCTTTTTTTACACGAGGACCATACTACTCAGAGGCACCCCGCTGGCATGCATGCATTTAAACCGGGAGCCACGCTGAATGAATTCAATTAGAAGCAACTGGGTTTGGGGTTGTTGCTGGACACCCCACGCAAACCCAGTCTTTATATATATATATATATACATGCATGAATTATACACCCACAGCAACGCAACCACTGACATCACATGTGGTAACCTATGATAAACCCACAACAATAAACCACAATGATAAACCCACAATGATAAACCCACAATGATAAACCCATGATAAGCACACATCTGTGGTAACACGTTTGTATGGCAAACAGCACCGCAACTCAACCCATGGCCCAGAGGGAAACCTCCGCAGACGCGCCAGGAGATGATCCATTCCCCCGCCGACGGCCTATCGAAGCGCAGCGGCAGTAAGCGGCGCCCCTGCGAATTTTTCGGAAGGAACGGGAGGAATCCCCAAGAAAACACGGGGGCTCCCCGAGCAGAGCTTTGCTCTAGACATGGGTCTTTTGTTGTTTTGACATGTAGCCCCAAAAGAGAAGGGGGTCCATTTTCCCCTAAGATTCAGATCCTAAAAGCTGGGTGCGTTTTCTGACGCAACCCATGTCCCTTCGCATTATGCGAAGGGGAGTACGAGGATTGGGTTCCTTTGGTTTCCCTTGGCGCCCAGGAAGTGGATTTGCCTCCTTGGCCTCGCGCCCAAAGCCGGCGAGGAGGCGCGGTTGCAGTGGAAGCTGCATACTAGATCAAAAAACCAGGCTATATTTAATATGTATGGTGTATATATGTATGGGTATTGTATACTCACATGCAAATTGATTCGGGCTCTGTTTTGACTAGAACATTGGGCCAGGTAGCCGGTGTTTTTAGTCGGAGTCCAGATTTCAATGTTCGGTGTAAAAGCATAGTTTCTCTTGCACAGCTGCTGTGGGTGCTTAAAATTACCTGGTTTCGGGGTTGAAGCGGGGGGGGGGGGGGTCTTTTGCTTGGCTTGTCTTTTGAGGGGGGTGTCCGGATTTGACTTATGCACATATGTCTTAACAGGCTGCACTTGATGATCTTGCTATACCCACCCTCCCGATCGCATGGAAGCTTCCACCAAGCTGGAACAACTCGAACGTTTCGTTTAGGGGTGTCTCGCTTCTATGAATTGCCGGCAGTTTACCTGTTCAGCAAGTTTAGCATGCCCGTGACAGCATTTCGCTGGCATGCCAGAATTCCGGTAGGATCCCTTCGGCATCCATGTTTTTACACAGTGCTTCCAGGCAAGCCAGAATCGCAGGTATGACGTCTTGAACATGGTGAGTGGGGCTCACGCCATCTTTTGTCGTTGGGATTCCAATTTGGAGAAGCACTCGTTTGGATCGCCAAATTACTGCTTTCTTTTTTCAGACACTTCTGCCTACCAAGTCACTGTAGAGACACAGAAGCAACCGAAGATCCTTGTTTGACAACAAAAAGGGCGCCAACCATTTTGTGGGTATGTTGTTTTTTTGAGGCTTTCCTTTCCGGGCTTGCTTTTCTTCTCGGTAAACCAACGGGAAGCCACTTCTTTTGGGGGTTCCATATCCTTTTCATGGTTGTTGTTGGGAAACATTTGGCATTTTTGCTTAGTGTGGTTTAGTGGTTGAAATCCAACCACTTAACTGCTAAATGTTTAAGTTGTTGCTCCCCTTCCAACGTCAACCAAGAATAAAACAGGCCCTTATTTTGTGCTTGCCGTTTCGCAGTCCAGGTCATCGAGGCTCTAACCGTGGCGCCGCCGGCACCGCGGCCGTGAGGGGGTGAGCCGGAACATCAAAAGGTGGCCGTGTGTTCGCCATGTTCAGGGGGAAGCTGCAATGTTGAGACCGGAGTTCGAGGGATGGATATTCTGCAGGTTTTGGGGTCATTGAGTGTGAAAGTCACAAGTCTGGCAGTGACCCCCTACATACTCATTTGTTTGAGTTGTTGAAGATCACCATGGAAGAAAGCCGTGATAGCTTCATTTTTAAAGCTCCCTAGTCCATGAAGGTGGTTGGTTTTTGCAGCCTTGATTTTCGGTTTGCCCATGTAGGAGACTTCGGGGATGTTATGTTTTTATTTTTCAGATGGTGCCTGGTGCAGGGGATTGAATGACGGATATTGGACTGCGAATGTGCGTTTGTTTGCTTTCTGATGTACCGTTTTGAAGTGTTTCGAAAAATCAACAGTGGAAACACAATTGTTTGGGATGGATCTGGGACAACAACTGCAAATGGGTGTGTGTGTGTGTGCGTGTTTTTGTTCTCTAGCAAAAACGTAATAGGGGCACCCTGATTGAAAGTTGGTTTATATAAATGGGCATGGGTCACATTTAGTCCTTGTTTCCATGTACCAGATTTGGGGACCTATGTTTGACCCACGGACCCACGCCCAAATGGAGACCAACAGGAACGCCAATTTTGGGATCGATGGCTTTTGGGAGAGCCACATGGAATAGATGGCAAAATTCGCCTAAAGTTTAATGATCATCTCCTTTACTTGAATCAACTGCATGACTTCCATTGGCTTAAGAATAGTTGTGCATGTTCTCCTGTTGGTTTTATAGGGAATCTATCACTACTGGCAACATGTTTGTCCAGTGGATTTAAGCGAATGGAAGATAACAAGGGTTTGTTTCCACTGAGGAACCCCAGAATTGATTGGCTCCCTTGTGTTTTACCTTGTAAGCAACCCCCATAAAGGGCTTCCCCTTGTTCAACTCGATGTGTTTAAGATTAGTGTCCTCGCTGTTGGATTTTCCGGGAAGTGAGTAAGCCCAAAGCAAATTGCGGCCTGCCCTCCTCCTCTTACGTGTCAGAGTTCCTGGGGCCATTTTCCTACTTGGGCCCCTAGGATAGATGGAGGCCAGTTCCAGCAAGAGGATCCGGTTCCTTACCTTACAGCAGCTATTTGAATTGTCCGAACTCAGGACCCCCACAACCTGACAATGGCAAGATGACCCCCCCCCCCCATGGCCCTTCTTGGCGTTTGGGGTGGAGCCGGGTGTCAGACCGCCGAATGGAACGGGCAATTATTTTTGTTTGTTTCTTTTTTTAGTTGCCAAATGGACACATTTTGGACATGTCAAAAATCACCTTTGCCAGCTGATTTAGAGGATACCATGCCACCCGAATTGTAGATGCACTTTTGGAAACCTCGGTCAACACACACCCAGGGAGAGGGCTTTGGCGTCCCGTGAGGTAAAGGACGCCAGCCATCACCCCTTGCCTCGGCGAGTGAGTTTGCCCGAAGGCGGGCACCAGTGCGGCAGCAACGAGTGAGGGGGGGGGGTGGCACCTTCGTCAAAGAAAGACCCTCATTCCTTGGCATGTTTTTTTCTTCCTTTTTTTTTCCGGTAACTTGCCGGCGAACGGTCTTTTTGTGTTTTCCCTCTGGCCTGCAAAAAAGCGAATCTGCTCTGCAACAACGCGATAGATTCTAGTTCACATCCTTCACAATCTTATGCGACAGTTTCCCCAAAAGCGGATGACATGAAGCCCCACTGATCTTTGATGTCCACCAAAGGGTCTCTGTTCAACAAACACAGCCCTTTGAATCATTTGTTGCTGGAGGGATTGCAACAAATCCCTTTGAGTCATTAGCTTGCGTTGAGCGGAACCGCCATTTTTTGAAGCTCCGCTGAGTTGGATTTTCTAGGGGTTGATTCCAATCCCATTCTTTTCAGCCCACATTCTTTTCAAAAACCGATCGCCATTGCCCCAGGGTTTTTGTGGCGATCTAGAAAGAAGGATCCCTGGAAAGAATGGAAATGGAAGCTACCCCTAGAGATTTGGGAGGGTGGTTGAAGCGCCCCACCTGGGCCAGGAAGCCACTTCCTGTGCCAGTATCAGCCAGAGGACACCTGGCAATACTTCGGAGCCTCGGCGAGTGATATTGGGATGTCGGCCCAAAACGCGAGTGATTGACCCTGATCCTTCCCCAGGTACTCATTGGATCTCGGCCCAAAACCAAACGAGATTGGTTTTTCGCTTCTTGGGGTTGGGTCCGGGTTTGGAGACCATGGCGCCCAGATTTGGATTTGGACATCCGCAAATTGGTGGATGACTTACGTTTCGTTGCGGATGACACGAAACGAAGGCCAGCCTTTGCCCTGCTCTACCCCTTGGCCCACCCTTCGGGCCTTCCCTCGGTGAAGAAACGCCACGTTTGCCTAGTCCAGTGGGCGCCAATTGCTCCCATGGGGCGGTGGTTTTCCATGAAGCCCATGGGTCGGGGCTTTCTCCCCCAGCTTGACATCCGCACAGAGAATCGTGCCGGGATTCCGGGCCCCAAATCTCTTTTCAAGCGGGCCTGAGGGCTCCTCCAACGTCTTGTATTGTGAGGGTACGTTGCATGTGGAACAGAGCCGGGAAATTCTGCTCCTTACCCTTGGTGTCGCTTGCACCTGGAGCTCTCAGAACTGCTCGGTTTGAAGCGCGAGTACGCACCTCGACGGTTGCGAAATGTCGATCCTTCTGTGGATGGAATCCATCCTGCACCAGTTGGTAGGTGGTGTTTCCCAGTGTTCAGGTTTCATCCCTCTCAACTTGCCTGGCACGGATTTTGTTCATCCAAAGTACCCAGAAAGAGTGTTCAGAAACCTTCCATCCGAACACTTCGATCAGGTTCTTTCCGACTTGGCAGGTTGGGTCATATTGAGACAGGTCTTGAGTTGACCCAACTCTCTGGATGTTCCACTGCCACTGTTTCAAAGGAGAAGCAGGGTCTCCAGTTGTGCAACACCTATGGGCCACCTCCATGTCTTACGATCTGCGCCATTTGGCCCTCGTCCCCCGTTTGAGTGTGCTTGAGAGCTGTGGGCTTGCCTTACTTGAAAATGAGGCCCTGCATCTTCTGGTGGGAAACGCAAGAATCCACAGACAAAACACAGCGACCATGTAGGTTTCTTTCAAAGTGGGGGAACCCCCCCCAAAAAAAAACAACAACCAGTGGTTTGCGTGCTAGTTTGCCAACCCCCCCACCAAAACCTGGATAGCCTCAAAAGAGACTCACCCATTTTGGGGGCTCCCCCTATTTTAAGTTGAAGTTGGCTGAATATGGGTATGCGTCAAAATGCACGGTGTCGCCTTTGGTTTTCCCTTTAACCTGAAAAGTGCACCCTCAAAACTGGCCGCACCCACATAGACATTGTAGACCGCTTCCCCCAATTCCAATTCCATGCATCCTGCCTCATGTTTCTCCTCTGTGGTTTGGAAGGCTATCGAACTGAGTGAGCTCGACCTCCTTGGAAATGGGTTTACCTCATGGTACGCGGTGGTTCCCTTTCCGGAGGTCTGTGACAGGAAAACCAAAGGGAACCCTTTTGATGGGTCCGGACGAAGAGACACAAAGCCCATTTCATGTTTCCACACGTGGGGGCGCGCACACCTCCAGGTGCCTCGATGGTTTTCTGAGGGAGCCTTCCATTTGCTTAAGAAGTTGTCTTTTTTTTAGTAAAAAAAAAGAATAAAATACAAAAAAATCCCCTGTTGGTTTTAAAGGGAATCTATCACTACTGGACATATTTTGTATTTTTTTCCAGGGGGTTTAAGCAAATGGCAGAAGCAACCAGAGTTTCCCTGCTTCCGGCACCTGTGCCTTCCGGAACGGGTCATTGTTTTCTCAAACAGCACCCGAGGACACATGGTCGTTGTTTGGAAACATGTTACATGTTTGCTTGTTGTGGGTTTTAGTGGGAATCCAACCACTCAACTGTTTTTTTTTTTTTGCGTTGCTCCCCTTCCAGCGTCAACCAAGGAGCTTCGACTTGGACTTTCTGTTTGTCCGACTTGTTCATTGCTGTTTAAACGGCCCAGGGGAAGTCTCGACAAGACCTTGTGCCCCTTACAGTGTTTACAATGTGTTTACTGAAAGGCACCCCATTCCCCAGAAATACCACCGCAGGCAACCTACTGTGGATGCACAAAATCCTGCATCACCTAAGAAAGCCTGGAATGGTGATTCCCCGTCAATACCAACAAACGATGGTTGCAGCCATGGTTCATTTTGTGGTGCAAAATGGATTTCGCAACCATCCACAGAAAGACCCCGCCTTTTATACCTGGGGAAATTTCTCCTGGACCACACCATGCTGAGGCACAGATGCCAAGCTCTTCCCGGATTGGCACTCCCAGCTCTGCCCTGGCTGTGATGCGCCTCGTTTGGGTTTTGGGGGCAGCTGGTTTTGGAGTTGCGTTGCGATACACAGGGTTGTCTTTTTTGGAGGGAACCCAAAAAGGGGGTTGGTCTTAAATGGAAACCCAAAGCATGGTGGACCCCCTTTGATAGTTGAAGCTAAAGGGAAATCAATGGCAAAATCAGCCATCGTCGACGACGATTTGAACAACTCCCATAATAATCAAAGGCATTCGGGCTAGCCCAGTGCGATTGAGATTCTACAGCCCCACATATGCGAGTTGGATCTTCTCCAGTCACTGCGAAACAGAGTCTGAAGATGTGATGTTCTGGTTCCCCCGATGGCCAAGTTGTGGGCTGTCACAGTGTAGAGTTGCTTCAAGTGACTAAGGCTTTTGGTGTGGCTTGAAAGGGGTGTTGTTGAGCTTGCTGATTCTCAGTAGGAATGACCGGGTGTTGGGGAATGAACTGGAAGGGGATTCCCTCAAAGAAACCCATAGGGGATGATTTATAGCGAACAATTCCATGCCTATGGAACCAGCAAGAGAGGGACTCGTTTGGGGGGAGGGGGGGAGAAGCTGGGGGCGTCGTAGGCCCGGTTCTACGCAAAGCGGGGCCAGCCGACGGAGCGGTGGCTGAGGCGGGGTCTTCCTTTTTGCTCAGCCTGAGTTCCTGGACTTTATACTTTGTGGTAAGACCGTTTTAGTGGTAGGTAAACAGTTCGGACTTTGTGTGGCCCATGGTTGAGAACCATGCTTTTGTAGAACATGGGAGACCTGCTATCCTTCAAACCACACATTTGCCAAGGAGAAGGAAGCTGAATGGCGGGTAACCAGGGTAGATCATGTAAACCCTGGTTTAAACCAAACATATGACTCGCTGTGGTGTTTGCCAACTGGAACACTGAAGACAGGATTGGTTTTCAAGGAGGTTTCCATTTTTGACTAGACAAGCCTGAGAGGTTCCCCTATTGCCAAGGTTGATTTCCTTTCCCCTCCCTGCATTGCAAGCTGAGGCTCGGTGTGGTTGGAAGACTATCGTTCTTCTGGGGAAGCATATTTTCCACTTCCATTCCTGGAAGCATGATGGGTGTGTCTTGAATTGGGGGAACCCCGAAATGGCATGGGTCTCCGGTTGGTTCCCCTATAACCAGCCAAACAGGGGGTTTCTAGAAGAGGGTTTCTAGAAGAGGACGCCCTCAAGCCACGTATTGCTTAGTTGTCCACAACCCTTTTTGACCTTTGGGTTTCCTATTTGGCTGTGGGTCAAAACCAATGGTACCATTTTGGGATAGGTGCACCACCCATTTTAGAACCTATTCTAGTGGGGATTGGGATGTTCACTGGGGGATAACCGGGCTTTTGACCCATGGCCATTTTTGGTAAGTTTCAAGTCATGGCCCCAAAGGTTGCCTTCCCAATTATGGACGTTTCGGGGGCTTCCCGAACGAGAAAGCTTTCGTCTTCCAAATCCCCATCGTCAGCTTCCATTGTTGGAGGGAGGGCAGTCACTCAGACCATTTCGGTAGCACTCAAAGAGCTTGGGAGCTTGTGTTCGGCCAGTCCGCTCGATCGTAAGTGAGGACTCACTTTGGTCCCAAAACTCAGCAATTGAGTTTGGTCACGCTTTCGACCATCTTTTCACACCGATCGGGTCGAATGGGAGTGAAGATGTGTGACGGAATCTCCCCAAAAGGACCTTTGGGAAGCAAATGGCTTTTCCATTAAACTTACGTGCAATAGCCGATCGACCTTTTGTTCAGGGAGGGGATTCTTGCTCAAGCCCAGTTTATTTACCATGCTGGTTTGGTTTTCCCACCGGCCACCGAACCAGATCTTTGGGCAGAGGAATCCAACAGCGCAAACATAAATTTCGATTTGAGCCCCGAAATTGGCGCGCGCACAAGCTTCCTTATTCATTGATGATTTGAGGTGTGAACATTTGGTTATGTGTCCGGAAATGCCAATGCCCCTATTCTTGGCAATGAACCACGGTCGACGTGTACAGGTTGCTCTGAGCCACTCGAATCAGGGAAAGCCAAGCAGTTCTTGGCTGGCTTTGACCCCTTGTAGAAGATCGGACACCACCGTGAGCGCCAATCCTCGAGGGAACTGTGCGCTACATAGCCCGTAGTTGTCAATGCGCCCAAGGGAAACCAAAATGGACCGTATTGTGAGTTTTATCTAGACAAATATTTCAGTCTTGCGGGGTACCCCTTTTGGGTTTGTTTTTTTTGCAGGACACCACAAGGAAACTGAGTATTCTTGTGAACTTCCTATTTTTAGACACACCCATTTGGCTGTGGATCAAACCAATGGTACCACTTTGGGGTCGGTGCACCACCCACTTTAGAACCAATTTTAGTGGGGATTGGGATGTTTACTGGGGGTAATGGATTTTGACCCATGGCCATTTAGCATTTCGAAAGCTCCGTCGGCTCCAAAAATGAAAACGAGGCGCCTCTTCGCCTTTACCACCGGCCAGAGCACGGATGCCAGCAACCAGGCTGTGGGTGGGTCCCTCGCTGGGTTCGAGCTGGCGTCAGTCCAAATATCGCACCTCTACCAGCTTCGCTTGTAAAACAGCTGCTTTAAGTGGACGTATGTTGTAGCCTTTTTGAGGTTCAAGCCTGTCCAATGGGAATCCAGACCCCTCCAACGGAGGGTCCAATCTCTGCGTTGGTGCTGCTAGCACTCAATTTCAGAGAAGGCTGCCAAAGACGCGGTTCAATATTGTTGGTTTTGTTTCAAGTTTTCCTACCTGTTTCGGTTATGTTCATTTTCGCAGCAGGTTCTCAGGGAATCTCAGGTTCTCAGGGAATCACCTGCTTGAACCAGGCTGGCTTCCTTTTGGCTGCTTAGAAGTTTTTCAGATCGGGGGGAGTCAAAGCAGTTTTGAGCCCAGATGCGGGCATGCCGTTTTTTGACGGTACCTTGTTGAGATTGATTAAGAGGGACATTGCACCCAGTGGATCCTAGTTGCCACTAGAAGTAACCAGCAATTGTCCTTCTGGGTTTAAAGGGAAGTTCCCTCGTTTACCTACTATACAGGTAAATGGAATAACTGGGGGGCAAAAGCGCTACTTTGGGGGGCCCTTTTTTTTGAGGTGCGCGCATGTGTCCTTACCGCTCTGGCAGGTGCAAGTCTGCACTCCAAACCAGGAGGAGGCAGGTCGGCTCTCGGCTCTCGGCTCTCCCGACCTGGATGTGCATCAAGCGCTTCCCGCGGGTGTGTCACGATTTTTTCGCCTCCCCCCCAAAAAAACAAAACAACAAAAAACAAAAGAAACAATAAATAAATGAAAAAAAAACAACTAAAGTTAAAAGAAAATGACACAATAATAATAATAATAATAATGATAATAATAATAATAATAATAGTAATAATAATAATAATAATAATAATAATAATAATAATCATAATAATAATAATAATAATAATAAATAAACGTGGTTTCCTTGTGGTTTCCCTGAAAACCAAAAAATAAGACACACGTCGTGGTTTTCCTTGTGAAAACCCACAAAAAGAAGGACACACCCACCTTTTACTTTTATTTCAGTGCCACAAGAGCAAGTTGAGCCATGGGTTTACGCCGCACTGGGTGCAAAATGTGTTACAGCCTGACACCGGTCACTTTAAGATAGAGACTGAAGGAGGCTGATGAAGCAATGACGGCTTGAGCATGTTTAATTCCTTTCAGATTCATGTGCAACCCAGGCCCTGCATTTTAGGTTCTAACTGCTTGTGCGAGCTGACCTTCCGAACAGAACGTGCAGAGCCCAACCCGGGCTTTTTGTTAACCACCGGAATGGTGAGCCCTTGGAATCGGAACATGTTTTGCGATGGGCTTCTCACTCAGCACGCCAAATCCGAACTTGGGAAGCTACTTGGATAGAGGTTGGCCACTTGGGATGTTTCACCCCCGGTGAATACCGCTCAGGAGGACTTGGTTCGTTGGGTTATAACCGAACGGTTCCCGTTACAACTTAATTACTAGCTTGGCGAATCGAACACCCAAGTAAGTTTCCGAAGCGGAACCTTTCCTGGGGCCTTTATGTTTTGTCGCAGTCCTTCGCCCTCGAGCCTCCTAGCAGGAGCGGGGCAACTTCGGGGTCGTGGGCAAGGCGGGCGGGTGTTGCTTTTCTTGGAACACGCAAGCGCGAGAGATTTCCAGGTCCAGGGGAATTGTGCTCCCCTTTTTGGGTGATTTCCACTAAGGGGTTCCCCACCCTTTGAGACATCAAGGGACGTCCCCTACCGTTTGAAAACAAGCCAAAACCATTTTGGATGTGCGAGGCTCGGACATTTGGCCTAGTCCGGAGGGGGGGGGGGGTGTCCTCCAACAATTAGAGTTGAGGGACATATGGAGAATCTGAAATGGTGATTTTCAGTGTAGCCCATGTTCTTGATTTAACTTTCTTTTTGCCAAACGGGCTGTGATCCCAAACAGGCGACTCCTTGAAAGCCGGTGCTGGTTTTTCACTCCCAGAGTTTCTGGACTTCAGTCGGGTTGGGAACATCATGTTAGGGACAAGTAAACAAATGTGGACTTGTTCTGACCAATCCACTCGATCGAATTCCACGTTGGAGTGGAGCCCGGGCCCAAGAGCTCCCGGGCTCCACTCCCGAGAGCGTGAGTGGGAAGTCCTAGGGATCCCTCACAAAGAAGGTAGAGGCAAAGTAGTTACATGATTCCCTTTTGAACATCACTTTTGTTTGGTTTTGGAGTACACCCCATTCTTGAAGGGGCAGTTGCATGCGGTCAATCGGGTTGCCAATCGTTGGTTGCCCTTCGTTCGCTGAGGCGCAAGTGACGGACCTGGTGCCAGTCAAGGCTGGCGTATGCCTTTAGCGACTGGGGTCCCGCAACCTGTTTAGCTGGAACGTTTGCTCCAAATAGTCCTGGTTGTTCAAGGGAACACAAATGAGCAACATGATTTCCCGACATACCCTTCTAGACAGAGTGGGTAATTAGTTGGAGGGAGGTCGTTTTATTTGGACCTGGGGTGTAATCTTTTGACCCAGGGGAAGCAGGAGTCCCTGACTTCCGGTCAAAGGCCGCTACTTTTAAAAAATGGTTATTGTTTCCTTCTTTGAGGATATCGACTTGGGCGCTCAATTTGTTTACCAGGGTCACGATTTGGTTGCTGGGTTCAAGATCGACGTACAATTCGCAGGTGGTCACCATCAAGCTGCCTGGCATCATTTGCTCGAAGGTCCTCTATGTGCCTTGGATGTGATTCAGGGTGTTTTTTGTGTTGTTTTTGCTTTTCGTTTTTCGCGTTTGTTTTGAGTGCATCCCGTTAAAAAGTCGGTTGCCTACATCAGGGTGTTTCCCTGCGAACAGGGGAACGGGAAGCCCAATTGGAAAAGCCCTGGAGAAGGAGCTGTTCCTAGACCCTTAGATTTAGAGTTGGATTTATGTGATATCCCGTTCAAGTTCTATCCCACGGGATGAAAATCTGTCCGGAGTTTGAAACCCCAGGTGCTGAGTAGCGTCGGGGACCGGCACATCTTCGTGAAGATCGGAGTGCGGGCAGCTGGGATTGGTATGTGAGGTGGAATTGGTTCTCGGCTGGTCTTTGTGACATCGCCCCAAAAGGACCTTTCGCAAAACAAAATACTTTTCCATAAACCTGCAAAATGTGCTCGACCTTTTGCTCGTTCGGGGGAAAGAGCAGCCCAGATGTCGGGTGGTGTGGGTATCAAAGGGAATCCGCCCAAAAGCTCGGAACCGGTAACTCCAGTGTAACTCCAACCAGAAAACGACTTGGTTATGAGAAATGTCGCTTGGCTTGGGGTTTGGGTTTGTGGGAGGCAGTTATTGGAACTTGGGTGGTTTGGCTTGGCTTTTCGTTTGGCCTGCGTTAGTTCACATGAAACCAACTGGAAACCAGTCAGATGCGGCAAACCCAGCTCGTGGTAGGATGTGTGTTTGGTCCATGTTTCCATGCACCATGGTTCCATTATGGGTACCTATTTTTGACCCACAGTCATATGGTTGTTTCTCAAATTTTAGGACTCCAGATAGGTTGTTTTTTCGGGGTTCCCTTTAAAGACCCATCCAAAATGGGGTCCCCTATGTAGAGAAACCTCCATATATCCGCTGGGAAAGCTTCTTTGGATGGTACGACATACTTTAGGCACCAGAACGGGTTGGGTGGGTCTTAAAGGGAAGAACCAGAAACCAACCATGAGACAAAGCCCAGTGGGTTGTGGGAATTGTGTGTTCAAAAGAGCATGAGCTGCGCACCAATTTCGCAAGGGTGTCGCTTTGATTTCCTTTCAAGCACCAGACCAGAAGGTGTCTCCTGTTTCCGGGACACTCTCAAATGGGGGTTTGGTTGCCGCTGTTGTGATACCAGGAATCCCCTTCAATTGATTTGATGAAGTAGTCACGGGGGTGAGAATTCCACCAAGGCAAATCAGAAATGATTGTCGTTCACAACCATGAAGTGGAGCGATAACCAAAGTACATGTTTTTTTCTCGACATGGCAAATAACAGGGTGTTCCTGGCTGCCCCGTCGGACTAATGCAGGGTGGTACTTTTGCGTGGTTGCTGCATGTAGCTTTCTTTTTGATGAGCTAAACACCATCCTTTTGGTCCGGAGTTTAGGGTTCTGCTTGTCGCTAGTATCAGTGCTGCCAGGGTGATGGTTACATTATTATTATTATTATTTAAAGGGAAGCAGCATCCCATTTTTTGGAGGTCCCGATATACTTCCCGAAAGGGGCCCTGGGCCCTGCCCGGCAAACCCAATCAGGGCCTCAGTGATGGGTGAGATTACTGAAACGAATCTGGCGGTGATACACCCTTGCAACATTCAAGGGGAATGTGCCCCCCTTGCATTAGGTGGTTCCCATGGTTCCCCATACTTTGGGTCAGTTTATAGTCGGTATTTACGATTCCCACTAAAAGTGGACAACTTGAAAGCGATCAACGAACGACGGCAATCTGCCAGACATTCTCCTTGAATCAGGGTAGTTGTTCTCTTGGTTGCTGGTTGCCAACTACATAAAGTAAATAAGCATGGGTCTTGCTGCACGATTTGGTTCTCAGAACGTCCGACCCCATATCTAGTTGGGAGCAAGAGCTGCATTTCCGACACTCAGCATCTGAGGCCATCGTGACGTATGTGTGGAACAACCTTGTCGCGGCCTCGAGTTGTTTCTTTCTTTTGTATTTCAAGAGGCTCTAGTCTCAGTGGTTTGATGGGCAGTTTTCTCGCTTATCAGGGTGTCCAGCTCCACGGAAGTTGCCGAGGTTCGGTACCAGTACTACAACAAGACCTTCCAGCGGATGTTGGTGATCGTCCTGCCACCTGGCCAGTTGGGGCGAAATGTCTCATGCTCTTGGCCTGTCCATGCGTCTCACCATGGAAGAGTGTCCAGATGCGGCAGCCGTTTGACCTTAGGATCTCATTCCCCCCCATCCACGATAAGCCAGCCGCCACTTTGGACCATTTTGGTGGTTGGTTGATCCAAATCTTGGGGGGGTAGGGTGGGGGGCCAACGAGTCGTTTGACCACCCAAGCGCCTTCCCGGAAACATCCGACATCTTCATTCAGCCAGCCGACTCGCCTGAGGCTCTTCTGCTTCGTGTGCCAATGGATCCCGGCGGATCCCGCACCTGGGTTTGAGTTCGGAAGTTCGGAGGCACCGGGAGTACCTCGCTGGGGTCTCTCTCAATCTGTTTTTCTTACTTACGCTCATCTACCGGGAGTGGTGCGATCTTCTTCACCCTGGTGAAGAGAAGTGGGGTGCATGGAGAGGGTGGGGTGGGGTGGGTGAGGGGTCCATAAGCCATGAACGCTTCAGTTGGGAGGGCACAAGCCGAATCTATCCATTAAGGGCACAACACCCAGGGGGCCATAGCCAAACATTTCCCCACGTCCATGGACAACCAGATATTTTGACCACTCACATCTGCAAATGGCGGACCCTCCAATCAGTGGTGGTCGGCTTCCCCGCTTTCTCATTCCAAACGGGGCACCCTGGGGCTGATATTGGGAAGCCTTGCTGCCTGCTGCTGGCAACCCACCATCTAAGGAGTCCTTGGTGCGGAGAGGCTGGGACCATTTGCAGGGGGTTCTCAAATAGTCCCCAGAAATGCTGAAATGGTGTCTCCTCCAAGACATACACAGCTACGTGTCCAATAAGAGGAACGTAGTCCTCCAATACATAAAGGCCATGTTTTCTGGGACATCTGAACACCATGTCCGCTGGGGCCAGATGTACACAACTTGGGATCGACCCACTCGAAGACCTCCCACGGGAGGCGCCTGGAGCCTGGTGGCCTCACAGGTGTACCACGAGCTCTTCTATGAGGCACCTGCGTTCCACTCCACCCATCCCCCGGCCCCCCCCCTGCCCCGGCGTCATTTGGGACCCGTGCTCCGTTGGAGCCATATGAAACCTCAGGCTGAAGAAGAAGAATGGGGTGGGATGTCTAAAGCCAAGTTTAGGCATGTTTACAGGGATATACTATTCGTAGTTATTCAGCCCCTTTGTACGTCAGGGTGAAACTAGCTGGCACAACTCCCATTTGTGTAAAGATAATGACAAGGGACCCAGATGGGGAGTCGAATTCTGCCATCTTTCACCCAGCTGTGGAAAGGGTCGGAAGTTGGAAGGCAATCAAGTTTCCTGTAGCAAAGAGCAGCTTGTGCAAGGAATCGTCGCACTGAACTGACCCATTTGCCCTGAAGTTAACTGTTCACAGAAGCCTCCTAGCCTGGCCCAGTTTTCGGGCACGGAATTCGGAGGGAGCTGATGTTCCACTGGAAAGGGGGAATATGTATAATATATATATATGCATACTTGCGAACTTACAACCATATATCAGGCGTAAGTCCTTCAGAACTCATACCGTAATGCGGTGAGACATGGATGCTTATTGTTGGGTTGCGGAGTTTTGGCCGCCGCGGCCTGTGGTTTCCATTCCAAGAGCGGATGTAAAGCTGGGCTTTGTGTTGGAAAGAACAACCAATCCCAGGGGTTCAATCAAGACACACACACACAGCCTACTTTGCCAGCGGTGGAGCAATGGTGAACCCTCCCTAAAAGGTAATTAATCACCTGTATTTCCAGGGCCTTACAGCGGAAGGCCTGAGTTTTGACGACGGAAGGGTATCCATCACAAGATGGAACGCCCATAGGTATATATATATATACACTGTATATACATGCCGGGGTTTGGACTCACATCGTACCCCTTTTTGTGTGGTGCTAATGAGAAGCCAACAGGAACACACCATTACTTGGCCCCCTAAGAGAAAGACATACCCACATGTGTTTTTTTAGCGAAAGCACACACACACACACACAACCAACCAACCAACCAACCAACCAACCAACCAACCAAACAAACAAACAAACAAACAAACAAACAATCAATCAATCAAACAAACAAACAAACAAACAAACATCAAAACAAAAAAAACAAAAAACAAAAAAAAACATAGAAACACAAGAAGCACAAACTGACTTTTGGCGGTCTGCGTGGGGCTGGCAACCCAACTTCTGCAACACCAGGTGCCAGGAGTTTGCCCTCTAGATGACGTGTCCAAACCATGACCCAAATGGCACACAAAGTGGCATATGGCCATGTTGTAGGTTTCGTATGCCGTTTGCCATGTCACCCAGGGGGTAGATACATAAAGGGTATTATACATCGACATACCTGGGGCCCAGTACCCAAGCATGTGATCTGGAAAAGCATTGATCACAGGAATTTTCAGGGTTGGATTTCCATGGGCAGAATGGGTTCCACCAAAGCCGTGGACGGTTTTATGGGGAAAGCAAATGTTTCACTGAGTTGTCCTCGCCGTTTTTGGTTTGTCGGTGTCGGTCCATTTTTTAATCCTAGGTCCCAAATGGTCAACCTTTCATTTGTTGGTCCTTTGAGCGGGTGAAACAGCAGCCTTTTGTTTGTATATTGTCTTGCTTTCTGGCTCAAATCGGATTCTTGCAAACCTTGTTCAACCCCCTTGATATCCATCTTAGTACAAGCAGCAGTCACTTGTTTCGCAAGTGCCTAATAGCTCGAATGTGGTTGTGGGCCAGGGCCATGTCTACACCAAATTAAACCATGATTGTGAACTCATACATGTGTAAACCATGGCAGCATGTTAAAGCAACAAAAATTAGTAACAATGTGAAGTCTTATTTAGCTCCTTACAACCCCTTGCGTGGGTGTGTCTTTTTGGGGAACCTGTTTGTTGCTCGTTTTTCCACGGAACCAAGGGGACACCGCCCAGCTTGGGTCCCCCGTATTGTGAGACGAAACCACAATATCAGATCATGGTGCTACAATAGACCACATACTCCTCTTACCCCGAATTTGTGGTTTGGTTTGGTGGTTTTGGGGATTCGAATCCCTGTTTCTTGAGGGTAAATGGGAAACCCCCACAGGACCCTACAAACCACCAATTCAAATGACCATTGAGAGGGCTGACTGGAGATTGAGACAACCATTGCATGGGGTGGTAAAGAAGTTTTGGGCATGTCACTTAGTTAGATCGGGTTCAACCCACAGTAAAAGAATGGCAAGGACCCAATTAGGATGATGAAAATCCTGAAAGGCAAATCATGCTGGCTATATAAACCCAACCATTGTTTACATAGCGGGCTGGCTGCTCAAAACCTTGAGATCTCTTTCCAGGTCTTTGAAGCCGTGGGCTACATCTTCGAACTGACGCCGGTCGCAAGGGCTTGTGCCGGGCCCTGGGTGCTTTTTAGCCTCCCTTTGAACATCAGGGTTCCCTTTTTGTCCTGTGAAAGGGCGGGTTTTGACATCACATGTTGGGCAACCCAAACTAAATTTTAAGTTTCCCGCTGTTGGAAGGATGTTTAAAAGTGTAAATGGGGACCTGAGGGAGCCCTGAACATTCTTGGAGGAAAGGCGTTGCAGAAGGATGACTTTTTGCGGAGCTATGTCTGGCCCATTGAATGCCAAGGAGTCCTTTTCCAGGTTGAGGTGGTGGGACATAGTGTCGACGTTCTCTGTGGAGGAAACAATGTGGACCCCCTCGTGAGTTTTTGAAGGGTGCCCGAAAGGAACCCCGGACCCCGCCTGTGAGTCCCATTTTGAGACAACATGGTTGAAGGGTGGCAGTTGCTAGCAGGTTCTGTGAGTGTACCTTGAGGCATTGTGGTTGTCCAACTTCAAGTCAAAGAGTTCGCCCAAAAAACACAGGCGCTTATCAAAATTCATTTCGAGCCCTGTACCTCACAACCCCGTGCATGCGTTCATTTTTGGCCCGTATAGGGGGAGGGTATGTCCCATGTGAAAAAGAACCTGACACGATCCAAGGAAGCTGCCGAAGGTCTACTTCCGGCAGTTCCCAGGCAGCAAACGTCAGCTGAAGGCATGTTTTGGCGCTAAAACGAGTCCTTTATGGCATGATGATGGTCCTTCCTTGTCGATCCCTTAACATTTCCTTTGTAGGATGATACTCCTTTCCTTGTGGAGCCCTCAATTCAGGTTTTGGACGTATCGTGAACTGTGCAGATACGTCCATACATGACCCACTGGCAAATGAACCCTGCTTGGGTGAATCAACCGTGGCCTAATGTTGGGAAGTGAGCCCAGGGGTTCAAAATGGCTAGGTTCATATATGTGCCTTTGATGGTGTTTTGTCTATGCAAACAGCTGGGCACGCAGCGACCGGCACCTGAGGCGCTGAGCTTTGGACCCACGTTGGTGTTTGAACGCACCATTTGGAGACCCCAAAAGACGATGGAGCCGGCGAAGGAAAAACTCCAAAGGACCCTCAAGGCAGAGGGCCCGAAAGGGTGTGATCGTTTGCACGGGCGTGTCTTAAAAAAGGGGACCTCACAAAATGGTAGGTTCCATCTAAACTCAAGCACAAGTCACCCCCAGATGTTGCCTGGCTGCTTGCTTGGACCTTCAGTACGTCTTCTTGCGGTGCCAACTAAGAAGTTGAGCTGTTTGCACGGGACTGAGCCTGCCAGAAATGAGTCAAGGAATTGTTGGCCGTTGATTTCACTCTAAAGCAGCCCCAAAACGGGCACTCCGAACACAACAAGGGGTATGGGTACTCCAAACAAGGGACTGCACGCCATGTGATTTACAACCAAGGAAGGGGAACCCTCAAAACAAGACACCCCCCAAACCGCACTCCGCGTGCCGCGGGTTGCACTGAGGTTGAAGAACGTCTGTGACTACGCCTCAGCTGACACCTGGCTGAGCACTTGAGAGCCCGTGTCAGGCGACCTGTAAGTGCTTAGCAGCGGGTAATTTAGTTGTTCACCCACTAACAGGGCATTTCAGAGAGAGAGGGGGTCCCCTTCGAGAGAAGTTCGACCTTTCAGGACTCATGCTATTTTAGCAGCAGGAAGTCCTACAGGTAACTCTTTGCTTACTCTCCCCTGCTTTGTGTTCACGAGTTCTTCATTGTTGTAGATGTTTTCAGCTTTTGTGGGGACACATCGCATCGCCTTGAGCAAACCTACCAGGACGGGCACACTCCTACAGATTAACTTGGCACCGCACACAAACTAAATTTGCAGAGGACCTCTTGTTGGGGGACCCCCTTTTTGGGTTCCATGTCAATTTGTAGGGAGTACTCCACGTGACTCAGCTCTAGCCCGATGAAACATGAATCTACCTACGGCTTGCGTCATGGATTACTCGGAACGACAAACGTGCGATCCGAAGTCCTCAGAAATCCAGGCTCCTATGCTCTTTTAGGCGACTCGCAGCATCTTAGTAACAGAATTAATATGGGTATAAGGTCTAACGAGGAACATCGCCGATATGGTTGTAACCATACTATCCACTTACTACAGTAAGTAGCCTGCCTAGGCATCTCCTCTCGGTGCAGAGTAGCCCCATACTGCCAGTGGGATTGGTCCCTGTTTTTTTTTCCTTTTTTCGTCGGGTTCCCCTCCAAAAAATCGACCCTTCAAGGGACCTCCAGTGGGGTGCAGCCCCCTGCGCCAGCCACAAACCAAGCCACAAGTTGTCCCGTTTCCGGACCTTTGGGCCGAACTGCTGCCAAAACAATGGCAACATGTTGCGCTCGATAGGCCCAGATAGGTTTGCAGCTTGCAAGGGCCCCCGAAACGGGTTCAGAAGGGAATTTCCCCTTCAACGCCCCAGGCTGCCAACTCAACAATCAACATGAGCGGACGTATTTGCAAGGCGCTAAGTTGACAGCATATATTGAACCCCAGATTTGGGCCGAGAATTATTTAATGAAATCTGCGAATCCCGGATACACCTGTAGTGTTTAAAAGGTGGTTTCCTTGGTTATCTAGTCGTTCAACATGGATCCGCAGCCAACAAAGCTACCAACTCCAAAGTGGAAGCTCTCAGGCGCTGGGTCTATGGCTGATGCATCTGCTGCTTGGCATCCACTTGGCTGCTAGATTGGGTCCAAATCCATTTGGGGTCCAAATTTGTTTGGGGTCCAAATTTATTTGGGGTCCAAAACTTATTTGGGGTCCAAATTTATTTGGGGTCCAAATTTATTTGGGGTCCAAAATTTATTTGGGGTCCAAATTGGCGCGAATGTTCATCGGGGACCCTCCAATGCCAAACAGGGTGGACATCAACGCGTAATAATCAACGCGTGGGTAAATGATGCCCGCCAAAGTGACCCTAACTCAAATTCGTGCCCATTTGGGCGCGGTTCTTTGTTTGGATGTTGTTCTCGTTCGTTGTTTTACGATTGGAAACATGTATTGGAGTTTGAACCTGGGGCGTTTTGGGGTACCATCAAACTCTGCATTTGTGGTGAATCAAGCTTCCCTCTCCTTCCCTTCGAATCCCGAAGGAGAGCATGTGTTGAACCACAGGTTGCCCTTTTTTTCTTGGTGTGATGTTTCAATGTCGGAACTCTGGGTGCATGGTTTTTGTTCGGCCATTTTGAGAACAACATGTGCAGCACTGGGGGACGTAAATCGGCTGAACATGTGGGTCTCTGGGCTGGTGGACCTCGAGGACCCAACACGACTTCCACCTCGAGAGCCTGCCGGTTCTGCTGGCCGTGGTGGTCGGGGACCCATCAGCCGATTCAGCCCGTTGGAGTCACCTCATTTCGACCCTGGACCAACGACTCTCCAACTGGGAGCTGGATCCTTCTCGCATGAGCTCTCAACAGTACCCTGGGGGGGGAACCCCTGTTGGAGCGCGAGAACATGCGCGGAGATGTCACGTTCGTGGACCCGGTTCAGCGTTCGGTCGAGTGTGGCGAGCTTGCCGAGTTTGCCCTTTCGCAGGCTTAGATCCCAGTGGTTCCCTTGATCACTTACAGGTGGATGGATCCACAGGCTGATGTTGGTCTCAAACTCAAACCAAATCTGTTCTTTTGGTTGGTGTGTCCGGGGCAAACAAATGCTCGTGGTGTTCCTTCATATTTGTGGAACATCATCCTTGTGATACGGCGGACCATCCCCAACGTTCTCGCTTCAAAGGGCGTTTCCTTGGTACTGTGGAGGGACAAATCTTGCACCACCTAAGAAACCCGAGAAGGATTCGATTCCCCTGTGAACACCAACCAACAATGGTTTCAACCATGCTTTCAAACTGGCGCGAAATGGACTTTGCAACCATCCACAGTAGGTTAAAGGGACACAACCCCACTTTCTGACTTTGATACCTTTCCCGTTCTCTTCAGGGATCCTTCTTCAAACAACCATCACAGAATTGGTCCCAATGCCAACCTTCAAAGTCCGGAAGGCATCCGGCTCCGGCATCCTTTTACCTCGTCACGGGGGCGTTTGCTCCAAGCGCCGCACTGATCCACACGGATTTCGGTTGTCCTGACGGTTTCCCTTGAACCACCTGAAAATGCTCAACCCCAAATTGAGGAAACAAATTCCATAGGTGTTCCTTTTGGTTCCCTTTCCTTCCATTTGCTGAAATGAAGGTTTGTTATTTTCCCCTGCTGGTTTCTAAGTTAGAAACTAATTACCACTAATGGACATATATTCTCATTTTGTCCAGGGGTGCGCCCCAGGCGCTTGGCATAGGAGTTCCTAGCAGTTTTTCGAAAAAAGAAAGCTTGCAGGTGGGGGGATTCTACTGGAAACGTCACCAGTTGGATGGTTTATAATGGCCATTCCCTGCTTCTCTGCATCTCTCGCAGCGGCAAGAGAGACTTTCATTTTCTGAAATGAATATGTGTGATTTTCCCCTGTTGGTTTTAAAGGGAATCTATCACTAATGGAATATTTCATTTTTTCCAGGGGGCTTAAGCAAATGGAAGGAGAGGATTGCAAATGGACAAACCCCCCGCCGCCGGCCGGCCGCTTCGCTTCCGAGATCATGGGGCGCTGGGTGATGCTCATCTGGACCTGCCGCGCCTTCGTGTGGGCGGGGGAGAAGATCCTGCCGGTGCTGCAGGAGACCGGGCGGGGGTCACGCCTCACAGGTCACTGGGTTTCCCACATGGGCTGTGTTTTTTTTTTTTTTTTTTTTTTTTTTTTTTTTTTCGGGATCCCCGAGAATGGCTGCGGCTTTTTTTCCTGTTGGTTTTTCCCTTCACAACCCTGCAAAAGGGTACCTTCTTCAAACAAACGACATGCTGTTTTCTTTTTTTTGTGTGGGGGGTTAAACATCCCGTGTTGGCCCATTCGAGGTGAGTTTCCCTTGGCAAGGATGACATGTTGTTTGGCTTGGAACTATAGTAGGCCTGCGGGATCAAAGGTGTTCACTCCTTGTTTACACCTTTTCTTCTCTGTCGATTGAAAATGATTACACCCTCCCAAAAGTCAAGCATGGAACTCTGCAAGAGGGATTCCGGTCAGAAAGTGGTGGCTCCTGGGCCTTTCAGAATTTTCAGGCGCGTCAATCGAAGGTGAGTTGTGTCTTGTGGCTGTGTCATATTTTCAGGTGATGTTGGAAGACAATCTTGTCTGACTGGGTTGTTTCAGATCGATGCTTGCTCCTTCCAGACGGTGGTTTCCCTCGGAGTAAGAATTCCTCCCCGTTTTGAACAAAGCAGCGAGCGGGCGCCAAATTAAATAGCCACCATCATTTATGCTTTTCACGGGGAAGCACAGGCCCTATTCCAAAGGTCCTGTGTTGCACCTTCTGAAGCGGTTCTTTCTTCAACTGTGTGATTCTTGTGCTTGGTTTCCCTTGGAAGGAGCAAATATTGCAATAACTTTTCACATTGTTGGTAGACATGAATCCGCAAATGATGTCCACCAAAGGGTCCCCTCTTACTTTTGGCCCCCACATTGCATTTTAGGTTTGACCAAATATGAAACATAACCTTCCATTTGCCTAATAAGTTTGTTTATTTTCTCCTATTGGTCTTAAACGGAATCTATCACCACTAGATATTTGTTTTGCCAGGGGTCTTAACCAGATGGAAGTAACCATTCTGAGGATTACTCCATTTGGAGACACACACACACACAGATTGCACAGCATGGCCTTGTCAGGCCTCCTGCGTGCCCATGGGAGGCGTGAGCCATGGTCGCAACACCCACTGCCTTGTTTGCTCTAGTTGGGAGTTTCTGGACCCCTTGTCGTCGGTTTTTGTTTGATGGGAAAGAACAGGACGCCAACCATTTTAGGGGACCGATTCCCATTTTGAGAAGCATCTAGTTGGTTGAATCTTGCGCCTTTCGCTCTTTGGGAACATGGAGGTGTCTCTTTTCGAGGCTCAGTGTCCTTTTTGGGTTTGGTTTAAAGCGACACCAATTCAACGGGAAGCGACGCATTTTGAGGGACGTTTGTTTTGAGACAAGAACAACTCCGATGCATGTCCCCGCTGACCAAGCGTTAAGGTGTGAACGAGGCTCTGTGGCCACAGAGCCTCCAGGTGGGAACGCAACCGATTTGTGTGGTGGAATCTCCCTAAGGCGTCCCCTCACAGATTTGTTTTTGCGAGCAATCGTTTCCCTCCAACCATGAACCTCCGATCTGCCAACGTGAAGAAGCCGGTTCGAGGATTGGTTTGGGGATGTTGGGGGCAACGTTTTACATATTCAAGGGTGAAGGATCCTGGTAATCGTACGAGGGCCAGGTCACAAGATTGTTGCAGAATCAGTCGTCGTGCAGGCGCTTGACCATGACACCGAGGTTCCAGGTTTGATTTTTGATTTCTGGTCCATGGTGGACTCAGGAGCTTCCCCCCTTCACCCTGAAAAGGGCACCCTCTTCAAGTCTTCAAGTCTGTCAGGTCCATCTGAATCGCACGAGCGATTCCAAGGGCAACAGGTTGCGATCACCACGTAGGTCCTTTACTTTCGAATCCCGGAAAGTAGTTGAGCATTGTTGGTTCAAAGAATTCGCACATCAAATTTGGGTGTGCTGTTTTTGAGGATATCCCCTCTTTTGTGGTTGTCAAGGGAAACCAAGAGGAAAACCACCATTTGGGGAGTCTCATACCGTGACATACCCATTTAGTGTTCTTTGGAAATTACATGCCAACTGTAGTTTCCCTTGCTAAAGGGACATGGAGAAGCCAGGGGAGAGACCCAGACTCGGATTCCAGAGAATTCCCCGTGGCTGTGTGAAGTGATACATCTGGCTCTCACCAGATTTTCCAGGCATCATGCTGGTCACCCTCTTCATCTTCGCTGGCTTTTGGCACTGCTTTGCCGCTCCTGGACACGATCGGGGGGGCTGCTGCTTTGGAGGTTTGGGGTTCCAGGCTGCCGGTTTCGGGTCACTGAACCTGGGCCAAGAAGGAGCCAACGGCGCGGTTTTCAGGTTTCTCCAGGCGCTCTTGTGCGTCTGTTACCGCTGCAAACAGCTTTTTGGTGCATTGACACGGCGCTGCGGAAGCAGAAAGAGACGCGTGCAAATGCCAAGAAGTTTTAGGGGTTCCTACTTGATGGGATGTAGAATTCCAAATCGTCCCATAGCGACAAACATCCGGGCTGCGTAAAAAAGATCAATGCGCCTCGCAGAGCGCTTTCCCATGTGTAGCTGCTGGGTTGTGAATGCGGCTGTGCCGGTCCAGCGACCCGAGCGTGCAGTTTGGGTGAAGGGAAATTAACAGGGGATGGAAAATGCGTGTTTCTCAGACCCGGCCACTCTTTCGCACCACTTTGCATGAATCAGAAGGTGTGCTGCGGGAAGTTGGGCAAGTCGACCTGTTCCGCATATAACCGACCGATTTGACGACCCAGGAGTTGGGCTTCCCTTATGCTGAATTGAACAAGTGAACCCTTTTCAAATAGAAATGTGTTGTCGCGTTTCAGCCCATCAGGCGTTGTCCATCTTGACAGCTATTCAACTGAAACCCTTGAATTTTGAGGGTCCCCTTGTAGCAGTGGACAGAGGGGTTTTGATGGTCACTCACCCAGCTTGTGGCTGACAGAGTCACTTCTTCATGCATGCTGCCAATTTCCACCGGGTCTGTCTTTTTTTGGAAGCACCCTTTCACCTTGGCTAGGGAAGCCGAAAGTAAAACCGCCTTTTTGGAGGAACCTCCTTTGAAACATACCCATACGGAAAACCAACATTGCAAAACTGCATGAAGGGAAAGTCTCTTAGCCTCATGGGGTAGCAGATTCATTGGCCATGGCTCATGCCGTTTTAAGTTTTTTCAGCTTCGCTCACGCATCGGGACACACGCGTCAAGAGGATCTGGAAATGGCGAATATCAGTTTGAATTCGCTTTGCATTTGGCATAAAGGGGTCCAACTGTGACACAAATGGGGAGTGTCCTCAGATCTGGCAGCCCGCTTCAGTCGTTGATTTTTGTTTGCCCCGTTCAACTGAAATTGACGCAGCTTGTATGGGTTATTTTTGACCATGGACCACAATCTGCAAATACTACTGTGGATGGACAAAATCCTGCACCACTTTGAAACCATGTTTGAACCATTGTTTGTTGCTATTCACAGGGAAGTCATCATTCGAGGGTTTCTTGGGTGCGAAATGGATTTCGCAACCATCCACAGTATGTTAAATTGAGTCGGGCCATGAAAAGGGGTCATTGAAAGCATTCAGAGGCTCACCCGGTGATGTGCCTTCCAAGGTTTGCGCCGATTCGCTCGCGCGTTGTTGTCCAAGGCTCTCACCTTGGCGCAGGGCGCGTTGAATCAGTACAAGGCGAGGGTGGTCAGGGGCTTTTGCGAAGCCGCAGCCAGAAACTTGCTGGTTCGATAGGCAGGCCATGAGGCATGGAATGAGCCCTGACCATCCCAGAATGTTGCCGAGGAAACACATCTATGGTTTCCTTTCAGGGAATTCCTAGCTCCATGCCCAAAAAAAATGAGGTCATTCCCTACCCATCGCACCAAGCAAACACTCAGCTGCTCGAATAAAGGGGCCCTGAGGAGCCGCCTCTATGGTTTCCGGATCCGCCAGTTTGAGGCTGAGTCCTTAGCTGTGTGGCATGTTGGATGGTACCCTTCTCTGGTCTTCAAAGCTGTTTGATATATGGGCTGAATCTGGAGCATGTGCGAACATTGTTGCCTGCCCACAGATTTGTGCCGAGTTGTGAGTTTGCAGAGGAAACCACAAGGAAAGCTATCTTTTTGGTTTTGGGGGGGGGACCGAGGGAACAGACTATGTGAGAAGGTGCCGGCCTTGTAGTGCTTGATACGGTTTTGACCATTTTAATACATGGTTTTGCTACTTGGTGTCAGAGTGTCACAGGATTAAGCGCCATGTTTCTAGCTACCTCAGTAGAACCCAATGGGTTTTGGCTCTGCTCAAATGAGCAACAATCGAACATGGCTGCTGGTCGCTTCGGGAGGTCCAGCCAGTGTTCCTTTTGCGACTGCCCCCCTTCCTCCCGATGGTCACCTCAGGAGTGCCAAACCCGTTGCCCGTTGGCCAGAAGCAAGGCGGATCTAACGACAAGTTTCAAACCACATGTTGATAGGTTTCGGTCGCTGCTCTCAGGTGCCCACAAAGTTCAGATAGTTTTATGACGGAACCAAAGCTAGTAGAACCAATGGGTCGGTACTTGGGAGCAGAACCTTGGTGGTCAGCCAAACCCTTGAAGACCTTTTGATGTTGAGAAGGGTTTATGATATCCCACCAAAAGTTGATCACTTTCCGCAAATCAACGAAGCACGGAGGTTAGTGCCCTGCAGTCTCCACATTTGAAACAATGAGGTCACATTCCCAATTTTTCAGGGTTCACCCAATTTTCAGGGGCTACCCTGTCTATGAACTTCTTCCAAGCCAAACAAAACGTCCCAGCCAAAGGTCCATGGCTAGGTCCTCCAGTAGTGCCCTTTTACCCTTTTTTGGGGGAGGGTTCCCCTACTACAATAGACTACAGATAAAAGTTGGTACCCTTATTGCAACCTCTCTACTGGAGGAGCTAGATGGGTAACCAGGTGCTTTTGGGCACCTTGCGCCTCTTGGTCCTTGGGGACGGCGACGGCGCCGGCATCATCTTGGGGCTCTACGACGGGGACGAGGTGCCTGGCGCGGGCGGAAATTCGCGGGGTGGGTCTCTCTTTGGGCAGTTGTTTTGGGATGACCGAGGTCGACAAATCAGGGATCTGCGACGGTTTGCTTCAAGACATGGGGCTTGTTTTCACAGTTTAGGCATCCTTCTATGTTCCATGGTTTAAGTCTGAGAGTTATTTCAAGATGGGTCCGAGTTTTCACTATTTTGGCGCCTTGTTTGTCTTGAGGAGATCAGAAAGGTCCAAAAAAAAAAGGCGCAAGCCTTGCGCCCCTTTTGTCTAGGCCTTTGACTGTTTCCAGCTGTGGACCCCATAACATGGTTGGTTTGTCTTGTGGCTTCCCTTTGAACCACTTCCAGAAAAGGTAGCCTCAAGTGATAACGCACGCCCCAGCGTGCGTTGGTTTTTTAGGTAACCTTTCTCACTCTGGCTTCAAGGAAGCCAAAGGCACAGACTGTGAATGGCGAACATCCTGCACCAGTTGGGATGGACGCCCTATGGAAACTTGCAGATAAACCACCTATCAACTTGTGCAGTAGCACTTTTGGGCGATCCTCTACTTTTGTACATACCCACATTCGGAGTCTGGTATTCAAAGCTGTTTGAAACTGGCAGACCATATGGTGTGTGTGTGTGTGTCTTAGGGCGACCCCCAATTCGCTGGTTTTCCTGTTGGGTTGCCGTTAAAACCACCAAAAAAGGTACCCTCACAAAGTGTCACACCCAAATATGGCATACTGTTTGTCAAGGGTCTTTATGGCTATTTGACTGGATCCTCGGATTTTCCATTGGACCCACAAAAGGTTGAACTTTTTGGAGAGGGGTAAACAGCAGCCAAGATGTCTTGTTTTCCCACGTTTGTCAACGGCCCCGCAATGGACCCACACCCAATAGGGACCCTTGACGACCGGCTATGCTGAACCCCAGTTCACAGTTTCACGAACGCCCAAAGTCTACCAGACATAACAACAGGCACATTTCCAAGGTAAACAACAAGACATCAAACGTGCCGCCCCGCAGCAATTGCATGCCGCACCCCAACATGGTCATTTGGCTTGGTGGCTCCCAGCCATCCCCTTAGCTTTTTAGCCTTTAGTGTTTAGTTGTAGTTTCCATTTAACCCACTAAAAGTCACTTTTAGCGGGGGATCAGAAAACGGGCAGCCCAGTTCAGGGAAAGCCCATCTCCTGTTGAGAAACGCCAAAAGTCTACCAGACATGTAGCTTTGGAGGAGTGAGGAGGCTCACTTTCAGGCATTGTATGTTGAGAACCACCCTCTAGATATGCCCACCCAACGGCCGAAGCTCCCGAGCGCGCGCTCCCGAAGCGCTCCCGAGCGCTCCGCTAGGAGCTCGGCTCGCCCATCACCTTCGCGCTTTTCTCGGTGGCCGCGACTCGGCGAAAGTGGGCACTTGGATGGGTTCTTTCATAGAGGGCCCTTATTTGAGCCACATGCTCAAAACCGATTCGTGTAGAAGGTTAGAAAGGGGCAGTCCCAGCCGGAAATAGTTTCGGATATCCGGCTTTCTAATTATTGAAGCATGGTTCTGGGTTCACCATTTGTGTACCAGGTTTTGATTGTGACTCATTTGTGGTTGCTGAATTATGATGATTTGCCCGCCATAACGCACCAGGATCTTTGACATGATTCAAGAAATATAGTTTTATGAAATATGGGTATGGGTCAACAAGAAGCCACCAGGAATTGGAACACAGGTTTGGGTCCATTTGGGTGCGGGTCAGTTAATATGACATGATTCAATATGGCGATGAAATGCTATGAATGGGTTTCCCCTACCTCGAAAGTGGGTCAATGGTCGATTGGAGTCCACCCCCAACAAACTGATTTGTGGCTACCCAGCTGGGATGTGGTAGGCAATGTGGGTGGTTTTGAGGTGGTTTGGAAAGGGCTGCCAGGGACCACAGGTTTTGGTCCGTAGAACACTTGCCAGGGTTCCATTTGGGGTACATGTTTTTTTGACCCACCATATGGCTGCGAAATTACATGCTATGACGTCAATGGGAAACCACCGTGAAAGTGGTGGGTCAACAGAAATCCCCAATTACATGATGTCCACCAAACGGTACCTACTCACAACCCATTCATATGACCTTCAAAAGGTGGCTCTTTTCTGGGCCTGTTTTTTGGGCGAGCTTTTGGTGAAAGTGGCGAGAGTTTCGGCCCATCCCTTGGAAGGGGAAACCAAAGTGAAGCTGCCAACGTAAGGCGTTTGTTTGTCCGTTTTGAGACAACACCTGCTTTCCAGTGAAGTCAAACATCACCGTTGGAAGGGCAAGTTGCATTTTGATTGGCTGATGTGTAAAGAATAAATACTTGCAATCTTGAGTATTGGACTCCTTTTGATGGTTGAAAGGGAAACCAAGAAGCCAACTCGGGACGACTTCCTCAGGTCAAAAGATGGCGGCAACGTTTGTTTGAGTCGAAGGGATGTGTTGACTTGTGTCTCCCGCAGCCCCTTGCCAGCGGCGTCAGCTGACCGCACTTGCGGTTTCCAGGTCCCAGCCCAATTGTCCAGCAGTTCCAGTTCGTGCAAAGTGTCAACCTCTGAGAGGTTGCTTGCTGTTTCAATAGAATCAATAGGCACCTTTGGGCCCTTAGTGGCCATGTGAGGCTAATAGCAGCCAGTAGGATTGGGGGGTCTTTTTTGGCATGGCCCCTGACAACCAGGTTTGAGTTTCAAGGCTTCCCTCCTTGGCGGTTAGCCATACGGTTCCTTAGACTTTTAGACGTTTAAAGTTCATCGGGACTCCTGACATGTCCAGCTATGAGTTTGTCTTTGAACAGATTCACAAACCACTCAGCCTTGATTGGAATGTTGCCTAAGTGAGCCGTGACCATCATTCAGATTAGGAGGTTTCAGAGTTGCCAGCCTTTGATTCGGAGTTGGATGCCAGCCAGCATGCTTTTCAGTGGACGCCGGGCGCCGGGGCCTGTCTCAAAATAGCTGAGAACTTGAAGGTTCCCAGCCATATGATTCAGACTTTCAGCCTAGAGTTAGAGTTGGATTTGTCCCCAGATCCCAGAAGCCGATCACTTTTGGCAAGGGAAAGCGTGAGGAGGCCACTTTTTGTTGAGGGAGTTCTCTTGAGACAAAGGGCAAAGTGCCCCAGAAAGCCGACTTCCAGAGAACGTTTCTCCTCACGCATTCGAGAAACTCGGTGCCTTCCCCGGAATTCATTGCAATATGGCAATCCAAACCCAAATTGCACGCCTATGGGGTATGCAAGGAATAAGGGTCTCGCCTTTTGGTATGTTTCCTCTCTTTTTCTTGTGTTTGTGTGTGTGTGTGCGTGTGTGCGTGTGTGCGTGTGTGGTTTGGGTGGGGGGCCATACAGTTCATACTCCTGGGCCACATGATGATTCTAGCTGTACCTTTTCCATTCTCTGCAGGGATCCTTCTCTGGAAAACAAATGGCCAAACGGGAAAATGTGCTTTCTGAAGCGAACGACGGTGAAGAGGGCGGGGAATCAGCCCTTAGAATTACGCATATGAGTGTTTTTTTCAAATTTGGGGGCGCCCCTTCAGGTTCTGGGTGTCATTCTGGTTTCAAGTGAGCATGCAAAAAGGAGACCACGACTTTTTGAGACACACCCATGATTCTGCGGGGGTTGATGAATATTCCGGGCCAAGTGACCATGGGTAGCTTTGTCCCTTTTTAGTGGTGAAAGCGTTTTTTGTTTTGATCGTCATCCCATGTAAAGGACCTTTTGATCACCCATGTGTCTAGAAAAACACGGTCTACACATTAAGTAGCGGGTTGGAGCAGGTGTTGCTTAAACCAGACCCTGAGCCCAGGAAAAAAAAGGGGTTGTTTAAGCTTAGACATACGTAGGTAACTGTGCCAAGTCCTTTTTGTCAACCTCTTGGAACCCTTTACTTCGAGTCTTCGGGCACGGGAAGTTCAAAGGAGGTGGTTTAAGGCAAATTTCTTTAAACCATAGGCGTCGTTTTTGGTTGTTTTGTCAGAAACATAGATGGCCCTGGTTTACCTGGTGGTTTAATCACATCATCTACCAGGGCCATCTATTTTTTCTAAAAGGACACCTATGCTTTAAACCAGTTGAATCAGGCAGAAGCTCCTCCATGTCTTTTTGGAACCTCCAAAAGTGGCAGCTTCAAGAGACACCAACATGAACATGATGAACTTTTCAAGCAGAAATCCAGTGTTTCCAGGTCATCGGCTTTTGCATCGTCATTCTGAATCTCTTTATTGCCGTGCATGGGGCAGCTCGGACGGCAGGTGTGGGAAACGCGAGCTGTGCCCAAACTGATTGCCAAATATGAGTCCATTTAGTCCACTGTTGGTTCGTAGAGGGTCAGTCAACCGTTCCAGGAAAATGAACGATCAATGATCATGCCCTTTTGAGGAAACCAGCTGGTTCATCACCTTGGTAGAATAAGTGAAGTGAAGCGGGCGCTGAGTTTGGTTCACTTCAAGGGCTTCCGCTTTCGATTTGTTGCTCGCGGCTTAGGGTTCGGATTCCCATGTGGCTTGTCGGGACAGATCGGGTTCCGAGAGAGTCCTCGAACTTGCACTCACTAGGAGAGAGTTGTCCGAATTGTTTGGTTGGATCATGAAATTCAGGGGAAAGCCACCCTTCTGAGCAGGGATCCTTAAAAGATCTCCATTTCGCAACCATTTGAAACATGTTGCGTTTTCCACCAAAATAAAGGGAAACCACCATTTAGAAGGCAATGTTCAGGTGTATAATGTAAGGATCCTTGCTGAGGGTTCCCTTCGGAGACATACCACGTCTACTCTTGAATCATATGCCAAGGGTAGAACAGATGACCCAACCATCAAGTGGAAACCTTAACAACATGATTTTCTTGAAGCAGTGACTTTGGTAACTATTGGTAGTTTCACTGACCCAACATTTGATCAAACCCGGTAGAACAGATGATCAAACCCGAGGGAAGGAGGGAAGGCAACATATGGTTTTTCCTTTCGTGTACCTCCGGCCCACGTTCTACTCTGATCAATTCGGTCGAGCATAACCGGGAGAGGTGACTCACCGTGCATGGGGGCCAAGCCAAATACCCAGAGGGAAAAATACGGAGGATCAGGTTTGCCATGGCAAATTCCTCTCCTTTCGTCAGGGGTTTGCATCATACCATATGTACAAAGAAGGTATTGGGTGTAATTAGGATAGAACGCCTCAGCCAGAGGATTCTAGCTGCCCTTCCCTTTTTTCGCTGCCCTTCCTTTGTTTCCTAAACTAAGACCCTAAGATGACCTTGATCAAGGTCTGAGTTGGAGGAATCCATGGGGAACTGATATTTTGACTTGTGATGATGGATTTCCCTGCGGAAACACTCAGGCCACATTGTGAGTCTGCCTGGGTGTCCAAAGACATCGGTCACAGCGGCCCTCAGGAAGCCTATGACAAGGCGCAAGAGACCGCAAACATCTCCTTCCTCCAGGAGCTGAGTGCTCAAAAACCAGCTTGGGTCCATGTGGGGGTGCTCGTTTTTTTGAGGGTACTTTTTTTTTGGGGGGAGTGTTGTTAAGTGATCCCCATAAGGAGACCCAAGGGTTTTTGGGGGTTCCCCTAGGAAACAGGGGAACCGCCAAATGGGGTGGTTTCCAGTTGATTTCCCTTTAAATAGTCCCCAAAAAGGATACCCTTAACAAAGACACCCAACCCCATATCAAACAATAGCAGACATGTGCGGTTTGTTTGGTCGAGCGATGCACCGATCCAGGCAAGACCGTGCTGATTTCGGTCCTTTAATTGGGGGCAGGATCTTGGTAGTCTATCGGTACCTGCGGGTTTCTCGTTCTGGTTTGTGAACAATTTTCCCAGAGAGATGCGGTGCGAGACACTCCAGTGATATCGAGAGTTGTGTGAGACTTCAATTGCACTCATTCTCCAACTTTTTGAGTAGCTCACTCATCAACCCAACATCTTCCGAATCAATTCTCCATCAACTGCAGCACACATCGGATCGGCTGCAGCTGTCGAACGGGCATGTCCTTGGAGCAATTTGGGTATGCGTCAAAGTCGGGGCCTGTAAAAATGGTGGTTTTCCTGTTGGTGTTCCTGTTGGTTTCTCTTTAAAACCACCCAAACAAAGTGTGTACCCTCAACAAAACAAACACGCACACACACACAGACACACACACACACATGTATACATTTCAGGAAGTGCACCCTTCATTGAAGGAGTCGTACACTGGGCAGTGAATTGCCGATGCCTGGAGAAGAGGTGCCTGCCAACGGTCCCAAGCGCACTTTCAGATTTGACCAGCCAGGGGCAAGACGGCTCACACGTGATGATCCTTGGGGATTTCGGGTCTCCAGTTGTGACAATTTGCTGAAGAGTTTGTTTTACTTCTCCCGTGTTGCTTGACGGAAGCTATCATAATCACTACTGGAAGTAGTTTATTGTTGAAGGGGACAAACGAGAAAGTTGAGGTATATAAATCGTTCCCGAGAAACGCACGGCTTGTTGGACGCGTGTTTCTCTGGTGGCTTTCAGCTCCCCCCAAACCTCGGTTTTCCATTTCGCCACGTTTGATACACAGCTCCAGTTTGGTTATTTTGATGTTGCTTCGAAGGGTGGCTCCACAGATGGAAAAGATAGTAGGGCAAGTGTTATGTGATATACCAAAGGAATGCCCGTTGGTATCTCACTGGCGAATTGGCTATGACTTTCGGGAAACACTCCACATGATTGGTGGACACAAATCCCCGCCGAAATGATGTCCACCGACGGGTCCCCAATCAACCTTGCTGTCTTATTATCATCTTTTTGCACCTGTTCTTGGGAAGCCGAATGGAGCACCGAGCCACATTTTCGTTTTTGGGTCTAAATAGCTGAGACCCCCCAAAGATACCATGGTTGTTTTTGGGAAACATGTTACATTTTTGCTCATTGTGGCTTAGTGGTTGAAATCCCCGCTTCACTGCTATTTTATTTTTGCTCCCCTTCCAACGTCAACCAAGATACTGCACTGCAGATGTTCGTTTCACTTCTCAGGAGAAGGCGGCCATTTGCCTGCACTGCCTGCTGATGCCCAAATGGCCACCTCCAGGCAGAGCTTCCCCCGAGTTGGTGCTTTGAATTGGTGTTTTGGATTTGGATTTGGACCCCTTTTAGAGGGTAGAAACGTATGTTGGGTATTTTTCTGAGTGGGTGGTTTGGATTGGTGGTTTGGATTTGGATTTGAAGGGGTCCCTTGGTCTTGTAGGGTAAATAGGAAACCACCCAACCACCGATTCGACTCCAAACCACCAACTAGGGGGAGGCTCTCCCGCTAGTGGGGCAAGCTTCTCGTCATGGAGACCTCGTTTGGGCCGTTACGTTCATGGGAATTTAGGGGTTGATTCCAATTCCATTATTTTCAGCCATCGTTCTTGTCAACATCCGATCGCAATGCCCCCAGGGTTTTTGGTGGTTTTCTAGAAAGAAGAATCCCTGGAAAGAATGGGGAAGTTACCCCTGGAGGAATGCATGTTTGCGGTTCACTAAGCATGCACCGTTGACCATGCTCGCGAGCGCCAAGATGTTGCGTTTCACGGTTTCCCTTGGTGTTACGCGACCGTTTGTTGAGCTTTCGTGACCTGACGGCTTCCCCCGGCTATCCAGCAAACAGCTCATACTTTGCATGGATCTAATCCTGAGTTCCTTAAATTGACGGGTCTCACAATTGCATGTGGCAAATCAAAGAGGGAGGCCAACATGGCTATGATTTTCAAGAAGGACCCCCTGGCAAGTCATTGGTGGACAAAAATCCCAAGCCAATGTCCACCAAAGGCCTTTTCCCGTGGACGAAATCCGCGCCAAGCAGTTGGGATGGATGGGATACTTGCCTACTGTGGATGGACGAAATCCATTTCGCACCACTTTGAAATAATGGTTGAAACCGTTTGTTGTTGGCATTTACAGGAGAATCAAATCATTCTAGGGTTTCTTGGCTGGTGCGAAATGGATTTTCGCAACCATCAACAGTATTGCCAGCAATCCTAAGTTCTCAGCTTCGGACCGTGTAGCTTCTCAGACGCTTTGGATCCAGTTTCCCTCATGTCCCTTTCCAAAGATCAGCGGTGGAGGACGAGCCCCTTCAATTGTGAGGCTTGGTTTTCAAAGGGGTCACATTTTTTCTTACATGTAGACCCAAGGCTTCCATTTGCTGAAATGAGTATGTGGTATTTTCCCTTGGTTTCAACATTGAATCTATCACTACTGGACATACTTTGGTTCCCTTGAGAGTATGTGGTATTCTCCCTTGGTTTCATAGGGAATCTATCACTGGATTTGTTCCAGGCTTAAGCAAATGGAAGCTGGTCCTATGGATCAGGCTGGTGCAAGATCCCGTGGCCTCGCTGTGTCTGCATGGCCATCTACGTGCCCTGGAAGCAAGACTTGGCAAGTCGACGCCAATCTTGGGACAGGCGATGGGCGGCGCGCCACGGTCGGGTGTGAATTCTTAGGAAGTCTTTGGTAGGCAATTCGAAATTCGGAGGGGATTCGTGTCCGCAACTTTTGTGAAGGTTCACTACTGGGGGTGGACAGAATCCTGCACCAGTTGGGATTGGTGTTTTAAATCGGGGTTAGTCAGTGCGTAACTGATGAATTTTGGGGGCACAGTTTCTCACTTCCTGAGTTCTTGGACTTGATACTTTTGGAAAGACCATTTTAGTGGCCAACAAAAAGTGCAGACTTGTTTTTGGACCATCCACTTGGGAAGTGAGGTTGTAGTCCTGGCAACCGGAGGTGACCTCTGAGCAATGTGTGTTGTTGCCTTTTTTGTGGCGCCCGATTGGGTGAAACGAGCTAGGGTTTGAGCTCCCGTTTGGGTTGGCGAATTTGTCCAGTTCAGTTCAAAATTCGGAGACGAGACAAAGTCGCCAACCAAGAAGGACTAAAGTGTGTAACACCTAATATGCTCCTTTATTGGAGGCGGGCCCTTAGGCATCATACAATGAGAAGAGGGTTGACATTGGATCAGGTAGACTGAACCTTCTGAAAAGGTTGGTGCATGAGACCATCCACATCGTGGACAAGAGGTTGAACATCATTGAATACGAAGCCTGTGCTTCAGCTTTCTGCAAAGATCCAGACGCAGATGCGCAAAGTTCCGGAAGCAGCGTGACGCGGAACACTGGAAGGTGCTCATAAACATCATGGAGTTGAACATCATGTCTTCAAGAAGGTGAAGCTCATGACGGACCTTGGTGAGGCATCCAGTTTCTCCCCAACTGGGCAGGACTTTGGGCCAGCCTTGAGATCTTGCAGTAGAAAAGCCTGTCTGGCCCAAGCGAGGATAAACGGCCCAGAGAGCCAAACAAGCAGCAGCAAGGGTGTGTGTGTTTTTTGGGGGGTGGGGGGGAAAACTTTCCACCATAGAGGATCCCTAAAACAGTCACAGGATCCTAAATTAGAAAACAAGCTTGTACAATAGAGGGTACTATTCCTAAAGGAGGTCCAACACTACACTTTGAACAATCAGCCGTTCTCCTTGGCACCTTGGTTGGACCGTGGTGCAAGCTGTTCCCCAGTCCACCTACCTCTTTCTTTGCTCTTTCCTGGAAGACGGATCTAGTAGAATGGGAGTGAAGTAACAGGAGCAATCTAGCTGCCACGTTGCCACGATGTGTGTCAAAACAGGGGGCCCCAAAGCTGGGTTCGTTGACCGTCGCTTGCCGCTGGCCTTTTTTAAACTGACCCCAAGAAAGGCTGCCCTCACGAAACGGGACAACCCCAAAACGATCTGGCCATGAATGTTAACACGGAACCACCTCAAAAATGATTGATGGACATGAAGCCCCACCTAAATGATGTCCGCTGCAGGGTCCCTTATTCAAATTCACAGCCATTTAGGCCCTCCTTTTTGATACACAGCACCGGCACAGCGGTCTGAGGTCTTCTCCTTCGTGGCGCGCTTTGGCCCAAAAATTGGGCACCGGCCTGGCCGGTGCCGATGTTGGCTGTTGGCACAAAGCTTCAGATTCGGGGGAGAAGAGAATTGGCAGTTCCCGCACATACGGTTCCTTCGACTTTTGGTTCGTAACTTGGTGTCTCCCAGCCATCCGGTTCCTTAGCATTTTAGTTGTTTTTAGTTGTTTTTAGTTAGTTTAGTGGCAGTTTCCGTATTATTTAAGCCGCAAGTCAAAACTTTTAGCAGGGGATCTGAGGGCAGCCCAGTCGAGAGTTTAGAGTTGGATTTTGAGCCAAAAAAGCCACTAAATGTTTAATCATCGAGCCAACAAGGTTGCCACCAACTATACCCCCCAGATCAACATGGAACCCCAAAAGACAGCAAGAGGGAACTGATGGGTGTGTGCTGAAATTGGGGAACACCCGATTTGGTTTGTTTCCTCAGGGTTTCTTTTTAAAACCAAGTGAAAGGAGGTTCCCTAAAAAGGGATCCCCAGATGAACATGGAACCCCAAGAGCCACTCATTTTGTCTGGAAAAAGCTCGCAGGGGCGCAGCAAGTTCAACCTTTCTCAGGGGGGCGGGAGCAACCGCCAAGTGTTGGGCAACTACCGACACGTCTTTTTTCTTGCTGGGGGGAGCCCTTTCCCCAGCAAGTGAACACCTTGATGGTTGCTTGAATGGAAAGCACAAGTATGTGTGCCGGAAAAAAATAAGAAACACACAAATAAAGCACAGATCATGGCAAATGATAAGATGTGTTTTCTGGATAGTTTCACTGGTCGAATCTCAAGAAAGGTCGAACAGCTTATAGGTAACTCAGGTAAGCCTTAGTTGATGGTTTTGGATTGGTGTTTTGGGGACTTGAACCCCAGCTCCTTTTTGAAGCCAAGTGAAGTGGGAGAGACACCCACTTGAGTGGGTGTTTGAGGGTGGCAATGCGTGAATTTGACTTCCGAGTCCGGAAGCCCAAACCTCAACTGGCGACCCAGATCCTTTTCGTGCTTATCTTGAGAGCCATTAGGGTTTCTTTGACATGGGAGTGTCAACTTTGGAGTTGGACCCCCAAAGGTTTGCGTTTGTTCTTTTTTTAGGGTCCCCGTTGTAAGAATGCCCAACGATGTCTGAACTGACCTCCAATGGTGTCGATGTATTGGCAAGTTCGGGGGTTCATCTGAGCGTGTCCTTGAGGGTGCCTTTTGTTTGCTGTGTTGGACTTGTTCTGGAGGGAATCCAAAGCGAAACCCGGAGAGAAACCATCCTCGAAACTGTCCGAGACGGTCTACTCGCAGGGGAATCAGTGCATGTACGCTGCATACATTGGCTGAAGAGGCTCAGACCCTCCTACCTTGGCCCAGTTGAAGGCGCGCCAAACGACCCCGTCCCCTCCGCCGCCCTTTTGCCGATCTTCTGGTGTAGCCCCGTTTTTGGTCAAGCCCCGGTTGTTGCGTGGCTCTCCTTGAGAGCCCCGCAATTTCTGCAGCTTTGCGGGAAGGCCCCCTATCGGATGCTGTTGAGGTGGCTGGTGCTGATCTCCTTCAGGGAGCTGCATCCCTGGCTGGCCAGCTTTGTGTTGCTGGCAGGCACTCTTTTGGGCGGCAAGCCGGCGCTGGCTTTGGGCAGTGAGGGCTGGCGCATAGCCCCCTTCTTCCCAGCCGCTGGGGTTCATGACTTTTATCAGGTTGACGAAGTCTGTCAATGGATTTTATGAGGATAAGAAGGAACTTCACAAGAGGGGCACTTGTTTCGCGTTGAAAGGGGCATTCAACATATGTCGAGTTCCTTGAATACTGTTCAAACTGATTTGGGCTGACTTTGGGACACGTGGATTTGCAGTGAATGCTTGCCAATGATGCTGAGGTCTCACCCGCCACCAACCAACCGCAACAAAGCAAGCAGGACGCCAACAACCAACCAGCCAGGCAAGCAAGCAAGCAAGCAACCAACTAGCGAACTAACCAGCCACAACCAGCTGGCACCAAACCTACAACCCACCCCCTTATAAGGGGGATTCATGGTTCCAGATACATGGAATTTGGGGACACCCACCGATCTCCCCCTCATGGTAGGAGGGTTCCCGTGTTTGAGCCTCCAGGCAGCCTGCTGGGGGATGCCGTTCTACTGCAGCTGCCCTGGAGCAAGCAGGTGACTCGCATCGCCCGTGTTGAGGGTCAACCTAGGCCCAGTGATTCCATTTTCCTGTTTAGCAGCTGACCAAGGGAACCAGCCGGACACCAAAAGGAAAATGGCTGGTGGCGTTCTTTCTCGGCAACTGGGATCCACTAAAAGGGGGGCCCTGCAGTATGTGGTGTTGCTGCTTGGTGAAACGGGGGGAGCACCAATTGACTCTGGGTTCTACCACTGGGAAAATTGATTCACGAACGCCGCGGATCCGTGGATAAAACGAGCGATTCCATGGCAAAGCTCCTTTACTCGTTTCCCGTTTCCTCAATTCCTGTTTGGGAATTGTAATTGGGTCAGCAACATCCTTCACCAAAATGTTGGTTGTCCTTCTGGTTTAGCTTTCAAGTATCCCAACAAGGTTTCCCTAAAAATGACACGGCCAACTATCGTGCAAGGAGCATGTTGGTGGTCGTCCCAAAGCCATCTGTCCGCAAACCCATCGGACCGAGGCGAGGGGTCTCCGCTAAACGGTGGTTTCAAACACGACCGTTTCTGGGCGAACTGGACGTGAGGTTCCTTGTCGGCTGATGTTGCATGCGGCGTTTTGGTTGATTCCCTCAATGGTGGGATTCTTCGCCCGGGAGTTTCGCCCCTGGGCTGTTGATCTGCGAGAGCTAAGCATGTGACCTGCAGGACTCGCAGAACTACTACTTCTGGATCTGCTACCGGGATGCCTCTCGTTGGAAATGGCTCAGTACCTTCTACGGACGTACTTAGACCCCTCGTGATCCTAAAGCCATCCTCAGAAGGTACTTGGTTTTTCTTGGAAAGGTATTGTCTTGAATCAACTTTGGTTGCAACCACCGAAAACGGGGCAGTCTGCGAAATGTAAGGCCAGGGCCATGACGCGAGGAGTTTTGACCATGATGCACATGGTTGCGGGAAATGGTGTTTTAAGGGCATGTCATGTTCTGCATTTCATTTTGTTAATTCCCTTTAAAGTGGTGGTCACCGTGAACAACGACTTCCTACTTCAGGGCCGGATTAGATGTTCGACTGGATTTTTGTAGACTGTTGCTGTGCCAAATGGGTTTGTCTCGAACTGAGGGCCCCTGACTTGGAAATCAAACGGGGTGGGATACGTTTTACGGAATCCAGCCCCGCTTTTCATACTTGTTCTTCTTTTTTTTAAGAAAACAAATGCGCAGGGTTGCATTTTTGGGTGACCTCAATGTGGACTCAAACTCTGGTTGACTTCCACAAGAGAGGAAACCCTGGGTCTAAGCCATGGGGTGACAGCAAATCGGATTCGGTTCGAGGACTACGAAGAGGCGGATTCCTGCCCTGTGGCTGAGAGCCGCGCCCCCAGTTTTTCCTTATGCGGAGGCAGAGAAGGCAACTAATGTCGATGCCCAACTCCTAGGTCCCCCAGTAGTGCCCTTTTACTCTTCCTTTTTGGTTGGGAGGGTTCCCCTACTAAAAAAGACTACAGAAAAAAAAGGGTACCAACTTATTCTAACCTCTCTACTGGAGGACCTAGCGGACTTTTGCGGACGCTTTTTAGGAAGATCAGTTTGGTGCAATCCACACAGGAAGTGAGCCACGGCTATGGGGAAAGATGGGTTTCGTCCCCTAAGAATATCCATGGTGAGAACCTACAATTTTGCTTGGACAAAGTAATTCTCGCCCAGCTTCACAATCCCGCCCAGTGGGTTGAAGGGAAGAATCAACCTTCCAGACTTTTTGTCGGACGGGTTTTGGTATAAACTCAGTGGCGGTTCACTTAAAAGGGAGAACCTGCAAACGAGACAAAAGGGCACCTTCACAGGACCTCAATTGGGGTATGCAATGTTGACCTCAGATTAATA